CTACATATGGACGCCATCACACACATACCGTAGTGTACAGACATCAGTGAGTGAGTATTGTTTTACTCCTGAATGCCACCTCTACATATGGACGCCATCACACACATACCGCAGTGTACAGACATCAGTGAGTGAGTATTGTTTTACTCCTGAATGCCACCTCTACATATGGACGCCATTACACACATACCGTAGTGTACAGACATCAGTGAGTGAGTATTGTTTTACTCCTGAATGCCACCTCTACATATGGACGCCATCACACACATACCGTAGTGTACAGACATCAGTGAGTGAGTATTGTTTTACTCCTGAATGCCACCTCTACATATGGACGCCATCACACACATACCGTAGTGTACAGACCTCAGTGAGTGAGTATTGTTTTACTCCTGTCCTGTAGAATGCCACCTCTACATATGGACGCCATCACACACATACCGTAGTGTACAGACATCAGTGAGTGAGTACTGTTTTACTCCTGTCCTGTAGAATGCCACCTCTACATATGGACGCCATTACACACATACCGTAGTGTACAGACATCAGTGAGTGAGTATTGTTTTACTCCTGAATGCCACCTCTACATATGGACGCCATCACACACATACCGTAGTGTACAGACATCAGTGAGTGAGTATTGTTTTACTCCTGAATGCCACCTCTACATATGGACGCCATCACACACATACCGTAGTGTACAGACATCAGTGAGTGAGTATTGTTTTACTCCTGTCCTGTAGAATGCCACCTCTACATATGGACGCCATCACACACATACCGTAGTGTACAGACATCAGTGAGTGAGTATTGTTTTACTCCTGTCCTGTAGAATGCCATCTCTACATATGGACGCCATCACACACATACCGCAGTGTACAGACATCAGTGAGTGAGTATTGTTTTACTCCTGAATGCCACCTCTACATGTGGACGCCGCCACACACATACCGTAGTGTACAGACATCAGTGAGTGAGTATTGTTTTACTCCTGAATGCCACCTCTACATGTGGACGCCATCACACACATACCGTAGTGTACAGACATCAGTGAGTGAGTATTGTTTTACTCCTGAATGCCACCTCTACATATGGACGCCAACACACACATACCGTAGTGTACAGACATCAGTGAGTGAGTATTGTTTTACTCCTGAATGCCACCTCTACATATGGACGCCATCACACACATACCGTAGTGTACAGACATCAGTGAGTGAGTATTGTTTTACTCCTGAATGCCACCTCTACATATGGACGCCATCACACACACATACCGAGTGTACAGACATCAGTGAGTAAGTATTGTTTTACTCCTGAATGCCACCTCTACATATGGACGCCATCACACACATACCGTAGTGTACAGACATCAGTGAGTGAGTATTGTTTTACTCCTGAATGCCACCTCTACATATGGACGCCATCACACACACATACCGAGTGTACAGACATCAGTGAGTAAGTATTGTTTTACTCCTGTCCTGTAGAATGCCACCTCTACATATGGACGCCATCACACACATACCGTAGTGTACAGACATCAGTGAGTGAGTATTGTTTTACTCCTGAATGCCACCTCTACATATGGACGCCATCACACACACATACCGAGTGTACAGACATCAGTGAGTAAGTATTGTTTTACTCCTGAATGCCACCTCTACATATGGACGCCATCACACACATACCGTAGTGTACAGACATCAGTGAGTGAGTATTGTTTTACTCCTGAATGCCACCTCTACATATAGACGCGATCACACACACATACCGCAGTGTACAGACATCAGTGAGTGAGTATTGTTTTACGCCTGTCCTGTAGAATGCCACCTCTACATATGGACGCCATCACACACATACCGTAGTGTACAGACATCAGTGAGTGAGTATTGTTTTACTCCTGAATGCCACCTCTACATATGGACGCCATCACACACATACCGTAGTGTACAGACATCAGTGAGTGAGTATTGTTTTACTCCTGAATGCCACCTCTACATGTGGACGCCATCACACACATACCGTAGTGTACAGACATCAGTGAGTGAGTATTGTTTTACTCCTGAATGCCACCTCTACATATGGACGCCATCACACACATACCGTAGTGTACAGACATCAGTGAGTGAGTATTGTTTTACTCCTGAATGCCACCTCTACATATGGACGCCATCACACACATACCGTAGTGTACAGACATCAGTGAGTGAGTATTGTTTTACTCCTGAATGCCACCTCTACATATGGACGCCATCACACACATACCGTAGTGTACAGACATCAGTGAGTGAGTATTGTTTTACTCCTGAATGCCACCTCTACATGTGGACGCCATCACACACATACCGTAGTGTACAGACATCAGTGAGTGAGTATTGTTTTACTCCTGAATGCCACCTCTACATATGGACGCCATCACACACATACCGTAGTGTACAGACATCAGTGAGTGAGTATTGTTTTACTCCTGAATGCCACCTCTACATGTGGACGCCATCACACACATACCGTAGTGTACAGACATCAGTGAGTGAGTATTGTTTTACTCCTGTCCTGTAGAATGCCACCTCTACATATGGACGCCATCACACACATACCGTAGTGTACAGACATCAGTGAGTGAGTATTGTTTTACTCCTGAATGCCACCTCTACATATGGACGCCATCACACACATACCGTAGTGTACAGACATCAGTGAGTGAGTATTGTTTTACTCCTGAATGCCACCTCTACATATGGACGCCATCACACACATACCGTAGTGTACAGACATCAGTGAGTGAGTATTGTTTTACTCCTGAATGCCACCTCTACATATGGACGCCATCACACACATACCTTAGTGTACAGACATCAGTGAGTGAGTATTGTTTTACTCCTGAATGCCACCTCTACATATGGACGCCATCACACACATACCTTAGTGTACAGACATCAGTGAGTGAGTATTGTTTTACTCCTGAATGCCACCTCTACATATGGACGCCATCACACACATACCTTAGTGTACAGACATCAGTGAGTGAGTATTGTTTTACTCCTGAATGCCACCTCTACATATGGACGCCATCACACACATACCGCAGTGTACAGACATCAGTGAGCGAGTATTGTTTTACTCCTGAATGCCACCTCTACATATGGACGCCATCACACACATACCGCAGTGTACAGACATCAGTGAGTGAGTATTGTTTTACTCCTGAATGGCACCTCTACATATGGACGCCATCACACACATACCGCAGTGTACAGACATCAGTGAGTGAGTATTGTTTTACTCCTGAATGCCACCTCTACATGTGGACGCCATCACACACATACCTTAGTGTACAGACATCAGTGAGTGAGTATTGTTTTACTCCTGAATGCCACCTCTACATATGGACGCCATCACACACATACCGCAGTGTACAGACATCAGTGAGTGAGTATTGTTTTACTCCTGAATGCCACCTCTACATATGGACGCCATCACACACATACCGCAGTGTACAGACATCAGTGAGTGAGTATTGTTTTACTCCTGAATGCCACCTCTACATATGGACGCCATCACACACATACCGTAGTGTACAGACATCAGTGAGTGAGTATTGTTTTACTCCTGAATGCCACCTCTACATATGGACGCCATCACACACATACCGTAGTGTACAGACATCAGTGAGTGAGTATTGTTTTACTCCTGAATGCCACCTCTACATATGGACGCCATCACACACATACCGTAGTGTACAGACATCAGTGAGTGAGTAGTGTACAGACATCAGTGAGTGAGTAGTGTACAGACATCAGTGAGTGAGTAGTGTACAGACATCAGTGAGTGAGTAGTGTACAGACATCAGTGAGTGAGTAGTGTACAGACATCAGTGAGTGAGTAGTGTACAGACATCAGTGAGTGAGTAGTGTACAGACATCAGTGAGTGAGTAGTGTACAGACATCAGTGAGTGAGTAGTGTACAGACATCAGTGATAAAGGGATGAGAGATGAGTCCTATGAAACAATTGATATTCTTAGCAAATGCAAACAGAATACATACTTTTGCGCTTAAGATAGAAAGTATCATGACTTGAACATGTGGATTGAAATTAACATTAATTCAGGCATAATATCGTGGCGGTGGGGTAGCCTAGTGGTTAAAGCGTTCGCTCGTCACGCCGAAGACCCGGGTTCGATTCCCGACATGGGTACAATGTGTGAAGCCCATTTCTGGTGTCCCCCGCTGTGATATTGCTGGAATATTGCTAAATGCGGCGTAAAAACATACTCACTCACTCACTCACTCACTCACTCAGGCATAATATCAGGAGTGATAACAATTCCGATGCCACAAGAAGTAAAACGGTAAAAGTTGAAAAAATATCCAAATGTTCCAAAATATGCCGAATATTCACAAGCGTGTCAGAGTCCCCCTCTTCTCTATATACTGGTATATTGTTTTCATATAAAATTACACCAAGACCTACAACGGGAGGACAAGGCTGATAGTATCTTAGTTTTCTTGTCCTATTCAATATAAACATGTCTTAATTTACACATGACATAAATTCTATCCCGGTATTTTTGTGTGAATTGAGACGTAAATACACATGACATAAAATCTATGTTAAAATGTGTAAATTGGTCTGAAACACACTGTTGATATACTGGTATATTTATAACTACGAATAGTGGTAGATACGTCAAGTCTAAAAATAGCTGGGAAAACCAATGATATCATGAGTTGACGTGTGGCTAAATGTATTCTTCATCCCTCCCATGAAGGAGACAGTGTGATAGATGTATCGAAGGTTTATAAGTTATTGCTGTCTTGCATTTGCAACAAACCTCATTTATACCCACATATTATACGTAACTTAAGACAAATTATACTAATTCCTACCGATCTGAAAACCACTTTCAAACCACTTCTTCATTGATTGCAACCATGTTCATGAGTTGGCAGTGCCCCATTTAGCAACGTGAGGTCTATTTTTAGACGTGCTTTTAATGCAGCTGTAAATATATATGAAGCATGTTATGTACGTGGCCAGTTTGAAAGTCTTGTTGGAGATAGGAGGAGACTTTCCTGGTAGGTTATTTATAGATTAAGCAACATGTAACGTGGAGACTTATGTGCATAAGTTGCTGGGGGTATTGTGAAATAATTCCGCTCTAGACAAGTATTCATACATTAGTGTACTACTCGACTTTTGATAATCAGATGTCACTGTATTTATATATAGACTCGCCGTATTACATAAATCAGTTATATATATCGTCGAAAGTTTGAAATGTCCTATCATAGATGAAGTAGTATGCCTAATTATTATGTTCTTGTAGATAGATATAACATACTGGTTATCTCTACGGTTAACCATATCGATAATCGGTTATCGAAACTGGATTTGGAGTTGGAGTTTGAATGTCCATTTGTCTGAAAGGTTTTTGTAGGACATCTGCATGCTCATTTTCGGTATATTATGATGCTGGGATATTACTGTATGTATACATTTGCAGTTATTGCATGTACAAATTGTACCTGTATATCCATTGGTTGAGAAAGGGTCACACGATTTTCTTTAAAACACTGTTTTGTCCTGAGACTCATCCTCCCGAGCAGCGATCAAAGACAGTCTGCCCTGCGTGATGAGGCTAATGGACTCAAAACAGAAACTCTTTTTGTAAGAGGCGACTATCGGATCGGGTGGTCAGGCTCGCTGACTTGGTTGATGCATGTCATCGTATCCCAACTGCGTTGATCGATGCTTATGATGTCAATCACTGGATTGTCTCATCCAGACTCGATTATTTACAGATATATAGCTGAGAATTTTGCAAACAAACAAACAAAGGAAATTATTTTCAGCCAATCAGCTTGTTCAGGAGCAGTATCTCCTGGAACACCTGAATATTATTTTTGACTTTAAAATATTATTTTTGCTTTTGTGTAATGAAATAACTATTGACCACAATTCGGGCAAAGTTGTAGCAGTATCACGAGGGGTACATGGGGTTTTATGCGTCCCGCGTTATATAGGTCTCTAACAAGGGAAGCATAACACCCAATGTACCCCGAGTGATACTGTTGAAACGAATTGGTCTTACCGACATGTTTTAATATGACAGTGCAAAGAATAAATAAATTTAAAATGTATAAAATAGATGTCCGATTGAGCTGGGGTTAACTTATGTCACGTGACTTTCATTGACTCGGAAACAGCGTGCGGCTTTTTGCTTCGAAACGGGGTATAAGGGATTTATTCAACATATCAGAAATCCACGTGCAGCCTGTCTTGTTAGTTGCGGGGTATAAATTTATTCTCCGACTGAGAAATGTTTTTCCTTCCAAGGCGGGATACATATCATTCTATCAAGATCACATGAACCAATCAGATCTCATCATTCTGACTTTGAGGTATGAACATGTTTCATGGACACAACAAACGTGTGTTAACCTTCGCCGCTGGCCTCGGTCAATATCAGTTTCTAGGGTCCATTAAATCTCATGAATGGACAATAATTGATAAGCACACATGTAAGGGACATTGTGACTATTGACAGACTCAGAACTCGATCTATGTATAAAATAGGCTCACTAATGAAACTACTACATATTATCGTCTTACACAACAATGGATGACAGTGTTACAAGTCTAATTCAGATAACACATCGCGATTACATTTGCTTTTTGTACAGACAATGTTGACTAAGGCTACAGTTCTCTTGGCAATCATTACCCTAGTCGTGGGTGTTGCTGTCGACACCGACTACTTCAAGTGTCACCGGGACCTCTGTCGTCGTGGAGAACAGTACTGTGTGGAGGAGAGACAAAGATGTTACCACTGCGCTGACGTAGCTCACCTGTGTAATACATCCGAGATCTCGCGAGAATGCGACAGTTATTGCAACCGTAAGTACTGACATAATTATCTTCATTGTTTCTATATGTTTGCTAGGAAATTTCTAACTGCAGATGCTTTCAAAGTATCTTGATAATTAATGCATGCTATTTATTGTTACAAGGTGTTTTGTACATTTGGATAATTAAATCGTTAATCCGTGAAATTAAAATAATATTTTACATATATGTCTTACGTTCTTTATTGACATGGCCAAAATGTTTTATTCATAAACGTTCATTTGTTTCACAAGGAGTTACACTGGAAGAAATGACAAAGAAGAAAGACAAGACGTTTTCCGAAATGACAGACGTAAAAACAAAACTACACAGTGAACAAAATACAACAACAAAGATGAAGATGACGATCACAAAGTTGAACACGATGCTGTCCCAGTTGAATGAATCACGGAATGCCTTGTTGGTTGACAATAGGGAATATAAAAGACGCCAAACTGAGCTCGAAGGTAAGATATCTTTTGAACACGATTGCTATATAAGCTTTGTGTCATTGTACCTTTATATCTTCATGATCATGTTAAATATCTAATTCTGTTGTGTTTGTATAACGAGTGATAAAGTTGAGTATCATGCCTCTATTAGTACCTTTACAGCCATATCACATGTCGTATGTGAGACCAAGCCTGACCAGCGTTGTATTAACTTCATATCGTCGTGATAACGTCTGAACAACGTCGTCACAACGTTTCATGTTGCAGCGTAGGAACGTCGTAGGAACGGTATATGGTCGTGGCAGCCATTTTACAACACAATGACACGTTTTATTAATAGCGTGTAAGGAGCGTGATATTGTGAAACCAATTTTAGAACGTCGTCACAATGTTTTATGTTTGCAGCGTTGTGACTACGTTTAAGAAACGTTATATGATCTGAAGAACGTTTAATGTCTGAAGCGTCTATTCTGTGTCTGTGATAATGATTGGAAGGATTTGAATAGGAACCACAATGGTATGTTACAGATGTTGTCAAGCAGAATGAGCGGTTGAGTGTCATCCTAATCGGCGTGTGTACAGCGTCTGGTGTGTTGGGGGTTGTGGTGATCATCCTCACTGGGATCCTTTGCTCCAGATGGTGCAGGAAACAAGATAAAGTCAAATCTCCGCCGCAACATGGAACTGGTAAGGTAGACCTGGTATTGCTACATTGGCTGTACTATTGCAGAATCGGCAAGTATGAAATTTCAGAAAGATATTGTCCGATATATTGACAATTTCAGCATCAACGTTATGTTCGGAATGATTTTTGTGGACAAAGAAAAAGTTTAAAGTTTCCAAGTTTATTGTGGATCTTGGATATTTAAAGAAGTATTTAACATTCCGAAGGTTTTATAATCTCAGGGCCTCTATATATTAACCGAGGGGTCTCGTTTAACCACCAGACTTCTATTAAAAACCGTACCTCAATTTAACACAGGGTTTTGGAGCTGATTAAAAAATGTATAATGTATCTTTGAGAAAACATCCACGTGATATCCAACATATCATGTTTGCATTTTGATACTGGAAATACTATATAAGTAGACAAGGTTCAAAAGTGAAACATTATTTACATTTGAAAAGACATACACATAAGTACAAATATCAATAGGATAATATGCTGTCTTTTGTAATTCTGAATGTCTATATTGCCAGAGTGCCACAGTGTCACAGCGCCAGAGAAGGAGAAACTGATCTTATACCAACTGCCCGGTCAACTTCCTGCCCTGCTAGAAGGTGCAGGAGACTATGTGACGATAGACACGAAGTCTCACACAGTCGATGCTGAAGGTGCCATCATCTCCCGTGCATCAAGACCAAAGATGCAGCCTTCCTGCATCGGCGACATGAACTGCAACAACGGCAGTGCACCACCGGCATATGAGACATATCTGGACAGTGGACATGCTTGTTGAGATGCTTCTGTCGAGAAGGAGATGAGAATACGGACCTACTGTCCGCAAACACCGTTTCACTATAGGCAGAGATCATGCATGAGATTTGGCTTCTTGGAACACTCCTGAATCACAGATACTTTGGGGCCGATTATTTCATATTTTAGGAGGAAGCAAGGTTTTTTTTGTAAGGGGACAAACATGTTGTCGGTCACTACATCATGAACTACTATTTTGACAACACTATTTATGGGTCATCCATTGTATATAACAAACACTGATTTCTTTTTTATAACCTGTGTGTTGTTCTCCAGTATTTTGTGAATCACATCCTGAAAATCCAAGAAAGCCTCCTCCACACAAACACCTCCAAAAATAGCAAATAGCTCAAGCTGACCATTAAGATTAAGACGATGTTGTATTTAAACATGCGTCGTTTACTGTAATAGCATGTGTTGTACCTTAGCCACGAACATATCTTATCATCAGTTTGATAGTAATTCAGAAAACATCGCCGCGAATAGCTGCAAAATTGCTGATGCGGCGTTAAGCAATATTCACTCACTCACTCATTCACAAACACATGCTTATGATATGGTGGGTATCGCACAATTGACTCTTAGGTGTGTTATCTCTGGCGTTGACGTTGTGGTTATAGAAAAGGCTTTTTCGCTTTTATTTGTATAATAAGTTATGGTTTTCAAATACAGCAGTGATAATGATTAAGAATAACACAAGTAACTGGACATTTGTTACAAATAAATAGTAAGTGTGTTATTTGTAAAGAATGGCCAGTTACGTGTGCGTTATCTGACTTAAATTACAGCACCAAAGTATCAGAATTATGCAAAATCAGATTTAAAATACAGTGGACTACGTTTATAACGAACACTCTTATAACGAACTGACGGATATAACGATGTTATTTTTTGGTACCGAACATTTGCTGTTTATACATGTATATATGCTTATAACGAACCTCGTTTACATCAAACTAAAATCAGTGGTCCCTTGGATCATGAGTTCGTTATAACCGTAGTTTACTGTACAGCCTAGAAGTTAAGATAAATAAATAAATAAAAGTAAATACAGTGTAAATACATATATGCTGCACCGAAATTACATGCAGAAAATTCGTAATACACGTGCATTACACTCTTTAACCTGAAGGGGGCACGGGTGGCCCAGTCGTCTGAGGCGCCGCGATTCGCTGTGCTGAGTTGCGTCCCTTGGGCACGCCAGAAACCTATGATTGTGGGTTCGAATCCCGGTTCGCCCCGATTATGTTTCTAGGTTTGTCAGCACCGTACCCGTTCTCGTGGGTTTCACCGAAGTGGTAAACGTCTGAGACCTGCATCACTTCGGGCTTTCCTCCCACATTAAGCTGACACGCCGTGATATAACTGGAATACTGTTAAAAGCGGCGTTAAACCCAACTCACTCACTCACTTAAACCTCAATGTCCGTAAACATTTGAACTAGACCTATATTTTACTGCACGTTTATTTTGTGCAATTTGATAATTGAAGCCACTATATTCGTAATGCGCGTGCTTTGAATTAATACACGGGCTTAAAATGTGCATTGTAGAAAGTAGGTCAGTGAAGTGTCAGCTCGTTACACATGAAAAATAGTGCAGCGTCATAGTTATATTATAATACAAGTCCATTCAACGGAAGGTGTTGGAGAAGAGAACACAAATGGATCATATTATGTCAACCATCAGAACATTATCATAGCGTCACCTCAAGTTAAGCCGGATCCAGTATTTTCAATTGCTCGTTCAAGGTTTCAGTTCAGAGGTTGAAATTAATGCCTTACGAGAACTTGACACTTTGTCATTGGGATAATCAGTTTATTGACATATTGGTCTTCACGTAAGAAGAAACTGGACCAGTATGGTTGTATTCGGGAGGTGAGATCTAAACTTGTTCAGCTTGTGGTTTTGCCCAAAGGATGCTGCGCTTGGAACGAGGTCTGACGTATCGTTGATTCGGGATCCACAGCAACCTCACGTCATTAACCCTACTTTGAATGGCAACAGCACTATTGTCGTGGTAATGGGACTTTTGTCACGAAAGAAATGTAGAACTTAAAGTTTAAAGTGTCATATTTTAATTTGTTAGCATAATATGATGATTAATGAATGACATACCACCCAGTGTGTAAAGGTAAACATATTAAGTGCCGTTGTGCGCGGTTTAAATAAGCGGTAAGGCAGCTAGTCGTCAGCACGCGACACATGGAACACTCCATTATTTTCCTGAAAAAGAGAGAAGTGATTATCGTTTAGTAAGCATAACATTCTTACTTTATATTCCAGGGCCTCTTACCACTAAGCGATCGTAACTCTAAGACAGTCGTAAGTCTATGTTAAAGTATGATAGTTACGATCGTCTTAGCGCTACGATTGCTTTGTTAAACGGATCCCAGACCTTGGCAGGTTATTAGGCGGAAATAATCTCAGAGGTGACGGATCTTATTAATTTGTTTCTCCCTTTTCATTTTATATTTTGTTGTTGATATTAAAATGTCAATGTTGTACGTCAGTGGTGTTTATGCTTCTTGTTAAATGATTTATTCCTTAAAGATGAGACATTGTACTCCTGTCTTACGAAGTGTAAAAACCTCGCCAGCTCGACATTCTGAACTCAACATATCACTAAAGCTATGAAGTTATGACCCTAGCAAAATCAGTATATCTCTTTTGTAATATGTATATCGTGTCGCCACAACGGTATTACGCTTGTCTCGAACAACGGATAATTCGATATATCGACTAAGAATACATAATGAATTATATATCAGTATGATAATGGTAGCTTGCAAAGCGACATTTTTGCCTAATAGTTGTGTCGAACTTCGGATATCTCGATGTATTTCCGATGGGCACAGGACTTCGAGTTAACGAGGTTTTGCGGGTTTCTCTTTTATAATATGTATGTGTTTATATAAGTTGATATGTGGTAGCTGGAGCACTAAGTGATGTTGGTTTAAGAAGTGTATCTTTTTCCATATTGGTGAAACTCACGAGGACGTGTGTGGTGTTGACAAACCTTGAAAATATATTCAGGGCAAAAACGTATTCAAACCCACAACAATAGGCGTCTGTCACGCACAAGGGCAGCAAGGCATTTATATTTCTCTCTTATTCTTAATTATCAAGAAATAAATGTTGTCATATATGTACATATCTAAATCGTGTTCTGTTTATTATTTCTGTTTATTAAATAAAATAAAAGGAAATTCAATTTAAAGTTCCAGTGAATTACCCATTTCGCGATCACTGTCATCACTGATCTTGAGTGATCTATTCATATACATTGTACATGTCACCGCTTTGTTGCCTTTTACGCCCAATGGAATCTGTTCCCGCTGATAATCAAGACTGGTTATTCTTTGTCGTTCCGGGGGCACGGGTGGCCCAGTCGTCTAAAGCGCCGCGATACGCTGTGCAGAGTGGCGTCCCTTGGGCACGCCAGAAACCTATGATTGTGGGTTCGAATCCCGGTTCGCCCCGATTATGTTTCTATGTTGTCAGCACCATACCCGTCCTCGTGGGTTTCACCGAAGTGGTAAACGTCTGAGACCTGCATCACTTCGGGCTTTCCTCCCACATCAAGCTGACACGCCGCGATATAACTGGAATACTGTTTAAAGCGGCGTTAAACCCTACTCACTCACTCATTCACTCTTTGTCGTTCCCCGGCCAGCACCATTCCAGCTATATCCCGGCGGCCTGTAAACCGGTGACTGAAAGCATGAACAACAACAAACACCATCAGGGCACGTTGACCCACAATCAGCCAAGACACAACGCCTGACCACAGAAGCCCATTTAAGTCCACTCTTACAATCGGGGGCACGGGTGGCCCAGTCGTCTAAGGCGCCGCGATTCGCTGTGCAGAGTTGCGTCCCTTGGGCACGCCAGAAACCTATGATTGTGGGTTCGAATCCCGGTTCGCCCCGATTATGTTTCTAGGTTTGTCAGCACCATATCCGTGCTCGTGGGTTTCACCGAAGTGGTAAACGTCTGAGACCTGCATCACTTCGGGCTTTCCTCCCACATTAAGCTGACACGCCGTGATATAACTGGAATACTGTTAAAAGCGGCGTTAAACCCAACTCACTCACTCACTCACTCAATGAGCTACCGGGGACCTCAGAGACGCTTGGCCCGGAACTCCTAAACGGGGTTTTTAGTTCGATATGTTCATGTAATGTTTATATGATATTTTTAATACATTTTCGCAATAAAAGTAACACGTACATGTATGTATGGAATTTGGCTATCTCGCATTCTCGTGTTTTGGGGATATCTACCTCGTTTGCAAAGGTCGAGATCGCGAGAATGCGAGATCGCGAGAATGTCACTTACAGTATTCCATACGTATGTGTAGGTTTCACGCAAATGTATCAATCTTGCTTCTATTGCTGTAGTGTCTTATCAAACATAATATGATAAAAAAACAAATTTCACAAGACACTAATTATAAACATAGATACCCTCGAACACATATTCTGGTGCAATAAAACTATAACTATAAAATAATATAATATAATAGAAATCCTATCAAGCCAATGGATATCGAGATCGTCTGCTCTACAACCATCACATGTATCTGTGTTCAATGAATGAGTGAGTGAGTATGGTTTTACGCCAATTATTCAATATTCAATATATATAGTAATATTCAAGCAATATAGAAGGGCACACCAGAAATGGGCTTCACACATTGTACCCATGTGGGGAATCGACCCGGGCTTTCGGCGTGACGAGCTAACACTTTAACCACTTGGATACCCCACCGCCCCTGTGTTGAAAGACCGCATATTACATATGCACTTTGAACATATATAATAACTTGATAAATATTGCGTGTTTCATGCATGACATGAACATAAATTAAGTCAAGTTCGTTGTTTCGCAGCTGACATTGCATACATGTGGAATAAAAGTCGTTGTCAAGTGGCGTTAGTAAGTTGTGAGGTGAGGTGAGATGAGGTGAGGTGACTTAAGGTGAGGTGAGGTGAGGTGCGGTGCGGTGAGGTGAGGTGAGGTGAGGTGAGGTGAGGTGACTTGAAGTGAGGTGAGGTGAATTGTCGCTTAATGTCGGTTAGATATTTGCACTTATTTTGCGACGTGAGTGCATGTTTGGCTGTGTGTGTGGTTGCTTGTTCTAGTCCAGACAAAACGACATCACTGCCACATAAAGTGACATAAAGCGACAAAACCCTTTCAATATCCAATAGAAATCTTTGCATAAAGCAGAGTCGATTGTACAATTCCGACTATATCATAAGCATGTGTTTATGAATCACTATCAAATAGTAATGATACCAGGTGTTCGCGAAAAGGTGAGCGTATCCTGCCCCAACGGCGGCTCCCGTCGCAAACACATGCAAAGTCAAGTCAATTGTTCACCCGAAAAATTATAGGAACATATGGCACAAGTCAAAATAGGGAATTGCATCGGACATCATTTTTGTCACTGATGCGTCAAACGTGGCAATGCCCTCCACGTGTCTACCATAAAACGCTTTGAAAGCTTTACTGAGGCCTTGATCAACAACTTCACAGAAAGCCACCAACTCACAGAAACCTATAATCATGGTGTCGAGGTGATGTGGAATGTGGTTCAAGATAATTGCCCTCATGTAGCAAACAGTATGCACAAGTGTACTAGTCTGGCAGTGCAACTCCACTGAGATACCATGCCGCAGTTTAACATGGATACCTCACTCAGTGAGTGAGTGAGTGAGTTGGGTTTAACGCCGCTTTTAACAGTATTCCAGTTATATCGCGGCGTGTCATCTTAATGTGGGAGGAAAGCCCGAAGTGATGCAGGTCTCAGACGTTTACCACTTCGGTGAAACCCACGAGCACGGGTATGGAGCTGACAAACCTAGAAACATAATCGGAGCGAACCGGGATTCGAACCAACAATCATAGGTTTCTGGCGTGCCCAAGGGACGCAACTCTGCACAGCGAATCGCGGCGCCTTAGACGACTGGGCCATCCGTGCCCCCCACCTCACTCAGACACAGTATACTGACTCCGAACCGATCACTTGTATTATTCCGATTATTATTTTTATGCCGAGCACATGGCGGGGTTACAACTTTAAAAGTGTTTTGGCATGACGCGGCCGGGGTAGGAATCACCGACCTTCCGCACTCTGGATAGACGCTGTATGCACTATACCACGGAGGCGGTCGGAGTCAGGTAGAAAATATGATACCATATCATAGTGTCTGAAAATAAATATTGACGATTACGCAATGCACATGACATTTAGCGTTGTGATAACATTAGTGTCATAAAAGTGCAGTGTGTACGTCTCTTCATGTACAACTCATGCTGTTAAGTGCACTACAAACTGATCGAGATAAAATAACGAGACATGATAGCGTGTGCTGTCTCCTTAAACACTTACGAGGACATACATAACACACCGCCGTCTACTTACCTGCCAAGCCTAGGACATTGAACACTGTGTAGTTACCTTATCTGGATTGAGCCCGTCCGTTGGGAGGATCAATTGTTAACTTTCAGGGGATCTGCCATGTAGGATAATACAAATACAAATGAATTACAATACGGAACAACGTCATGCATTTTTATATGTATACACGTAGAGTAATCTCACATGGACTCACTAACATGTAGGCGAATATTCTTTCCAAATTCACGGACATAATGTGTGCTATATTTAAACAGCGATATGCAGGTTAATATTATATTTGATCACACTAACATGTGAGGTAATATTACACTTAAACACGCCGATATGGAGGTTTATATGTATAGGATAAAGCACGACTCCGAGGTTATGCTTGGGGATGTAAAACCCGAGGCGACAGGGGAGAGGAAATGTAAGACCGAGGTTATATAATTATGAACAAACTGCCATGTAGGGTAATATGACATTTAAACACAACGATATGCAGGTTAATATTATATTTGATCAGACTAACACGTAGGGTAATATAACACTTAAACACACCGATATGGAGGTTTATATTACAGTTGAACATACCAACATGTAGGGTAATATTATATTTGAACAAACTGGCATGAAGGGTAATATGCCACTTAAACACATCGATATGCAGGTTAATATTATATTTGATCAGACTAACATGTAGGGTAATATAACACTTAAACACACCGATATGGAGGTTTATATTACAATTGAACATACTAACATGTAGGGTAATATTATATATGAACAAACTGCCATGTAGGGTAATATGACTTTAAACACAACGATATGCAGGTTAATATTATATTTGATCAGACTAACATGTAGGGTAATATAACACTTAAACACACCGATATGGAGGTTTATATTACAATTGAACATACCAACATGTAGGGTAATATTATATTTGAACAAACTGGCATGAAGGGTAATATGCCACTTAAACACATCGATATGCAGGTTGACATTATATTCGAACACACCCACATGTGGGGTAATATTACACTTAAACACGCCGATATGGAGGTTAATATTTTATTGGAACACGCTACCTTGGCGGATAATGATACACGCAGACACATCAACATGCAGGTTAATATAATAATTATATTTGAACATGTCAACATGTTGGGTAATATCATACTTACACGCACCGATATGCAGGTAAATATTATATTTGAACACACTCAATCCTTTATTTCAATATTGAGGCCTCAGGGCCACGTACGACAAATGCTTTGAAGGTAGTTTTTAACACGCGAGCAGCAGCAAATATTTACAAGTGTGAAGATCGGAGATTGATGGCACCTTTAACGTAATTTACAAAATGTTTTAGAAAACTTACATCGGGTGACATATTTAGGGAAATATTTTGAACGAATATCAAAGCAAAATGAATTTTATTTTCAAGTACATTTAAGTTACATATGGAAAAAAACTCAGTGTCTCATTGATGCCCTTTCCAACACGCTGACATGTAGGGCAATATTATAGTATTACTTAAACACACCGATTTGCAGGCTAATAATATATTGCAACACACTAACATGTATAGTATTATTACACTTAAGCACACTGCCATTTAAGATGTTTTTACAATCAAACACACCGATATGCTGGTTAATAAAATAATTGTTTTGTTTTTTGTTGGGTAATATTACATTAAAACGCACCGGCTCATATCATGTTTGAACACACACACGTGAATGATAATATTACACTTAAATATACCGATATGCAGATTAATATTATATTATATTATTAATTAATATAATTATATTATTAATATTATATTTTAACACACTGACATGTAGGGGAATATTACACTTAAACACACCGATATGTAGGCTTATATCATATTTGAACACACTGCAGTGTGTTATAATAACACACTTAAACACACCGATATGTAGGTTAATGACATGGAGGGTAATATGGCACTTAAACAAAGTATCATATAGGGTTACATTGCATCACAATATGATAATAACACTTGTTCACAGCGAAGCATAACGACCATCTAATCAAACAAAAGATCTCTTACTCTAATATCTTAGTCTACAGACCAAAACCACAAGTAAACACGTGATAAAAGACGCAAAAAGTTTTATTCGACAAAAAACATGAAACCATATTACAAAACAGTTAAGCAAATAACAAACGATTCTCCACCGCCATGCTGATCATGCAACTGCCCTGTTCATGGTAAATTGTGTGGGCTCCGTATCACAAATCGATCGAAGCTGTTTTCAGTGTTAGGGATAGGAGTTCCGACAGCCGTAATGTTGCGATCTCTTTGTGAAACGGGCCAAGTCAATACTAATAGTTACAAGGCCACACGTAATAACATGGACGTGCGCATAGTACGTCACACGAAGGGCCATCTCCCTGGAGAGTTGTGAGGTACACAGGTATGTAGACACACTCTTTATCTATCACTATCGTCAATGGGTCGTCCACACTGGACACCATGTGGGGGTGTCAACACAAATAACTGTTATAGTCCCATTTGTATACGCGATAGATACAATTGTGACTACTGAGCAATAAAATGAATCCCATTCAACCACTCTGTGTTTCCGAATGAAGTAATGTAATCATTAAACAAAATGTCAAAGCCGTCTCAGCAGGTCTTATTGAGCTCCTAGAATCTGATAAAGACCAGGGAGAAACAACGTACCTGTTCAGAATCACATGCAAACATGAAATCGTATAGTTATATGGGCTTTGGACATGTATGTTAAGGCATGGTGTTAGGCTTGTGAGTCGTCTATATGTACGACATATTTCTTACCTCCAGGTGTTTCTGTCTCAATGTGCACCGGTCATTTTCTCAGTCTTACTATTCTAGCCAAGTTGAGGTGGAGGAATTGTCAATAGGGTGTGAAAGTGGAGTACATTATAGTCATATGCATGCCGATGAGACTCGAACCTGACTATACTTGTGTGTGGCTTCTTGGTGGAGTGGCAGTACGTCAAGGCAACCCTGTAGGACTTAAAAATCATCTGAGCTGGATGTGATGTGTACTGCTTTTCTGTAGGCATGGAACTCGTTGTGTATTTTTTTCTGGTGAAAATGTTTGAAAACAATTTGATTGCGGCTGCCCCATTAGACTTTGACTGCTACGGAGACCGCTGCACCCTCGGGGTGGACTACTGCGACGAGGGTGCTGGACGTTGCGTACCCTGTAGTCAGAATCTGGATCTCTGCGGTGCAGTCAAAATACACAGTGCCTGTCATCTCTTCTGTTTGAGTAAGTATTATGTGTTGGAAATGGAAATGTGGTTAATGAATAGGGGTATCACCAGAGAATGGGGGCATCACTAAGGAAAAGTGAATGAGTTGGTGTTAACCTCGCTTTGGACAGTATTCCTGTTATATCAAGCGTGTCGGCTTGGTGGGAGGGAATCACTAAGTGATGCAGGTCTCAGATGTTTACCACTTTGGTGATAAGTACGAGCACGGGTGAACACTAAGGAATAAGAGATATTGTTAAGGAAAGGGGCTTCGACAAGGACCAGAGGCATCGCAAAGGAATAATGGGACATCGTCAAAGACTCATGGTGCTAAAGAATAATGGGACACCACAAAGGCATAGGGGCATTGCCAATGACTAGGGGCGAGGACAAAGAGTAAGGGGGCATTACCAAGGTATAGGGGCCTCACAAGCGAATAGGGGCGTCGGCAGGGAATAAGGGGACATCGTCATGTAAACGTGATACCACCAAGGAAATAGATCGCGATTTCAAAGGTGATACTGTTTTATTATTCAACTTTTATGTTGATGGTAGCTTCAGCCTTGATGGTCGGTTCATTAGCGTTTCGCTGCAGCAATCCTTATTGCGACCCGGGTTAGGATCACTTTATTCCTTTGCTTTTCGTTATAATATAATTCGAAATTGGATTGTCTGGCCGTATGACGCCACTGATTGCGTGTCATATCGTGCCCCAATGGATCGTGGCTCAACTTATCAGTCACTCGTTTGTCTGGTCAAATGAGATGTAGAGGCCGCCGTGGTATAGATGGAATATTCGAGACTGCGGCGTTGAACAACCTTCACTCACTCGAGCTATATAATGCATTTGAGATTTTGCAACATAGGAATAGACAGCTCTGGTATGTGTAAAACATTAATATGTCACTGCCCCTGTGGACCCGTGAAGATTCCGGGGTAGAATAGGTCTTCAGCAACCCATGCGTGCCGTAAAAGGTGACTATGCTTGTCGTAAAAGGCGACTAACGGGATCGGATGGTCAGACTCGCTGACTTGGTTGATGCATGTCATCGATCCCAATTGCGTGGATCGATGCTCATGATATTAATCACTGGATTGTCTGGTCCAGGCTCGATTATTTACAGACCGCCGTCATATAGCTGGAATATTGCTGAGTGCGGCGTTAAACAACAAACCAACCCACCAACCAACCACTGCCCCTGTGCAATGTTTGCAGATTTGACGGAGCAAGAGCCAAGTACCGTTGACTCAACCATTAATGTGACAGAAGCTCCCGCTAGGCCCCATGCTACTACATGTCGAAAGCGAACTCATGCTGGTAAGCTTACACAGTAATGCAACCTCAGTGACAAAAGACTGCAGATATGCAAGCAGGTTACATAGAGTATCACCAGTGCGTGGCAAATCATGCCCTTTAGAATCATAAAAGCTATCAACCCGGGACATATATCTCTTATACATGGCGTGTGTGTGTTTGAAAGGACTTGAGATTATATCACATAACCGTTGCCTTCAGATAAACATATCACTTACCACTCCTTCAAGGTTCGCTGTTCCTTTGAACCAGTTGATATTTCGTCTCTTACATCGTAGCTCCGCTTGTCTCGAAGTATGTATAACTCGATTGTTCTGAGATACCGAGAACGTAGTGTTAACTAGGTTTCTCAGTTTACTTAGCCATTTGCTACATTGTAGATACCCTGCCCATGATATTTAGTCACTCCGCTTGTCTCGAAGTATGGATAACTCGATTTATTGTATACCTCAGTGTGAAAGACTGAGTTTTCTGAAGTTGAGAAAAGTGATATTTTCATTGCAGTGAACATAACACTTGATTTTTCACAGCAGTGTACATAACACTTTGACGGAACTATTGTCATACAAGAGCTACCGCCACTCAAATTGTCACCTTTTAGCGTAAGTGTCTAGCCCGTGCACAAACTGTTGACGTCCTTTTTACGTTAGTTCCACATTGACAAGGCAAAATAATGACAGATGGTCATTTATGAAGTTAATATCGCGCCTTGCCGTTTGTTATTCTCTTTGTGTTACAAACTGTAAATTTCTCATTTAACTCGTCAATCGAGACTGTTCGTTTCGCACAGCGCCATTTTTGTTACTTGACCAGCGTGTATTCTTTCGCTTCCAACAGCGGTCTCGTAGTTTTAAAGAATATTTTTTATCAATGTTGACTTTGTATATAATCATATCTCAACGTATGACACAGAATTTTCTTGACCCTAAATAATCTGACTTTGATATTTTTGGTTATATTTTGTAAGATTTTGCACACACGAAACGAGAATTTACGTTTCAAGGTGCTACATTTGTAATGAAATAATTAAAGTTTCCGGTTGACAACTGATATAATCATGTTTCTCTTATCTCGTGATGGGGAAAAAGGAGATCTTTTCACTCCTGTCCTCGCCACTCGTGAAAATATCTCCTTTACCCCCGTCACTTGATGAGAGAAACATAATATTTCACTCGACACATGAAATATCCTCTATGTATTTTCGAAATACAGGGAACGTAGTGTTAACTAGGTTTCTGATTGTAGTTACCCATCGGCTACATTGTTGACCCCCTATATATGTTGAGGTAGAACCTTCATTGGTACTATATATGGTCCAATATAGCCACTCCGCTTCGGATAACTCACTGTATCTTGAAAGCTCTGAAACGTCGTTTCATTGTAGATAGGATTAGCCAGCGGCTGCACCGTAGAAGCCCTGTACAACTCAACCCTCCAGATATATAGTTCACAATGTTGTACACTTATTCCTTTCCAGAGCAAGGCGAGGAACCCACGTTGATTCTACTGGTGACAGTGTTCAGCGTGATGCTGGTAATAAATCTCTGTGTTTTCTTTGGCACCATCGCACTCCAATATCTGAGGAATGGACCCTGCAAATACCAACCGTCGGTATGTACTTGTGCAGATGTAAAAGGTGAACTGTGAGTGAGTGAGTGAGTTGGGTTAAGATGCCGCTTTGAACAGTAATTCTTTTTCATGGCAGCTTGATATCACAAGATTTGGGTTTGGGTGATCCTGGCACAGTCAGGCTGGTTAGGCTCATTATCAGCTCAGGGCCCTTGTCCCTCTACACGCAGCGAATCGGACCTCTTCCAGGAAGCGCTGTCTAGTCGAACCCACTCAGAACTTTTCTGAGAATGTGAAGACTCCCCAACACTGCAGCCTTCTGCATTACCCAGATTGTCAGAAGGGCTGTATTCCTGGCAGCAAACCCGGGTACTCTCCCGATGTCAGTCAACAGATAGGGAGGTACCAAACCTAAGGCACCGAGAACAATGGGGAGTCGGACAACTTGGTACTTGGGATGCAAGCGTGACATTTCGAAAGCGAGGTCCGCATATTTGTCATGTTTTTCCTCAATCTTGTCAATCACATTAGTGTCAAAGGGGACAGAAAATTCAAAGATATAAATGATTTCATTGGATTTATCAAAATGGACAAGATCAGGTTTGTTAGCCTTGATACGTCTGAGGCTGTAAACGGGCCTATTCCAAAGAATTTTGTATTTATCATTTTCCATGACGCCCTCTACATATTCCGGGTCGTACCATTGGTTGACCTCTGTGTCAAAACCACAAGCATGGCAAAGACGGTAATAAAATGATCGAGCTACACCATCATGTCGTTTAAGATACTGTGTTTGTGCCAAAGCTGGGCATCCACTGACAATGTTTTTGGACAGTCTCATTAAATTCATTACATAATCTACATTTCATATTTACATTTCGATGCAAAATCACACGTAGGCGGTTTCAAGTGGGAAGTGACTGGTCCTGAGCAGCAAACAGAAAGCCTTCTGTTTCACTTTTCAGGCCAGACGACTTCACCCAAGCGAAGGACTCTACAGGATTGCTGATCTTCTCAACACTCTGCACATAAACTCGATGCAGTGGTCGTTCAGATCTCGCTTTAAAACCTGGCCCGAGTTGATATGACACTTCGCTTGGTTGACACTCATTTATTATTATTATTATTATTTTTAATTATTATTATTATTATTATTAGGGGGCGAAGTGATACAGGCTTGCATACGTTAACGAAGAGAATCAAACTATTAGGCTGAAGCCGATAATCTAGCGTCACGAACACCCAGACAGCGTACAACCCTGAGGATACCCACATGGTATAGACAAGGTTAGCTTAATTCAATAGCAAGCTCGTCCTGACTCTTAACATTCGAAGCATTCGAGATGTATTGCCTGATAAGTCTTTGCCATGTACAACGTTACATTCCTCCAACATTTTATTTCAGATTTATCACTTTTAAAAAAAACATTGAGGGTATCAAATGGAGAGAGTCCGCGTAAAAGAAGAATTCATCACTCGGACCAATCGTCCTGCCTTGAACAAATGGATGTTGGTATCGGATGTGCACTTTAATATCTGTTCCGAATAATATGGGGGCGGTGGGGTGGCCTAGTGGTTAAAGTGTTCGTTCGTCACGCCGAAGAGCTGGTTCGATTCCAAACATAGGTACAATGTGCGAAGCCCATTTCTGGGCCCTGTTCCACAGAGCGATCTTAGCAGTAAGATGATCGTAACTCCAATACTTTAACATAGGCTTACGACAGTCGTAGCGCTAAGATCGCTTTGTTGAACGGGTCCCTGGTCTTATTATGTCAGCTATTGTTTTTTACGCTGGGCCAGCTTGATGTGGGAGGAACGCCCGAAGTGAAGCAGATCATATACGTTTACCGTGAATATGGAATATTGTTGACGAACGAAGGATCGGAACTGGTATTCGAACCCATGGTTCTAGGATCCTGGCGTGCCTAAGAGACGCAACTCTCTGGAATGAAATGCATATTTGAAAGATAGTTATCAAATGATCTCAATAAAGATTTGCAATTACTTATATTCGTTTTGTTTAAATGGGTGAATGAGTGAGTGAGTTGGGTCGAGCAGTGTTTAATGTATATATCGCATGTTTTTGGTCCAAAATGACACAGGTCGTAGACATTTACCATTTTCGTGGAACCCATGAACATGTCTGTGCTGGAGAAAACCTGACATCTCACTGGCACCGTCACCGTTATTTTAATCATAATGTTACTAGTAAACTGCCGGGGATAAGAACGTATACACTTAAAAAATGGATTTGACCAAACAATAACAAACGTTATTAAAACATTACGAGGCTGAAAACAGTCGCCTAAACACTACAGACGTAAGGTCAAAGACATAATTATGATACCTATATCAAATACATGAATATCGAATAACTATGTCTTGTTTGTTTCGTTTTTAGTCATCAAACATGTGTGTATTACGTTCTTTTGATCGACAGGTTAGTTTAAAAAATCACGCGTGTAAAGGACATGCTTGATATTCTAGGCTGGGAAGAAGCAGGGAATATGTCCGGAAAAGGAAACTTACATTTAATTTTCTGTGCGTGGGTGCGTGGGTGCGTGGGTGCGTGTGTGCGTGTGTGCGTATGTGCGTGTGTGCGTGTGTGCGTGTGTGTGTAAGAATGTTTGTTCTGAAAAAATATACTGGAAGAATATAATTTTGCCCTAGGTTGTATGTATAGGATAAAGCACTCCTCTTCGGTTATGCTTGGGGATGTAAAATCCGAGGCGACAGGGGAGAGGAAATGTAAGACCGAGGGCGAAGCCCCGAGGTCTTACATTTCCGACCCCTGATCGCCGAGTGTTTTACATCCCCAAGCATAACCGAAGAGGAGTGTTTTATCTAGCTTAGAAACCGTGGGGAAACTTCTTTTTTTTTGCAATAAAATGCCAAAATTTGCCTTATATTGTCCTGAAAAAGTCGAGTGTATGAGAACTACGTTTTGATTCGCTGTAATGACGTCAGATCATGCATGTGCCAATTATCACGTACTGCACGTGCAGATTGTTGGTACTTGAGCGATGTTTTACAATTGTCATGTGACGTGACTAGGACGTAACCAAACATATCCTAGCTGACCGGATCATCACGTACTGCACGTGCAGATTGCCGATACTTGTGAGAGGTTTTACAATTGTCATTTCACGTGACCAGCTTTTTTTAAACGTGCGCATTCACACAGTAACCACACACTTTTACCGTGAACACGATGAGCGACGAGGACATCTTTCTAACCCATGCTCAGAAAATGGACGCTTTCTACTACTCACCATTATTAGTGAAACCCAAGGCAGACAGATGGTTCAGCAATTTCCCGATAGGACACAACACGCTTCAAGGCATAATCAAGCGACTGTGTCGGAATGCAGGAATCGAGGGAAAGCGAACAAATCACTCTCTCAGGGCAACATCCGCCACCAGGCTATACAGAGCCAACGTTGATGGGCAACTTATTTGCGAGCAGACAGGTAAAGCAACATTTTAGTTTAAAGTTTTAAAATTATTTTTACTTCCAAATTGGTGGCAAAGATAAAATATAAATTATTTCTGGGCAACTATTTAAGAGTAGTGTTATCATTTGAAAGGTACAATTGATAGCGTATATGTTTCAGGCCATCGAAGCGAAACTGTGCGCACTTATAAACGGACATCCGAAGATCAGAAACTGCTGGTGTCGGACATCATCTATGGTGGGGGAAAGCAGAAAAAGTCTGTTACTGCCACTGCCACGAGACCATCTCCAGATGATGCTACTGCGCCGCCGTCAATTGCTACTGCTACTGCTATCCCGTCATCTGCAGCACCGCCACCAGCCGTTTCCAGTGAAATTGTCTCTGATCACGACTTGCGAGAGAAAACCAAAAAGAGACGCTTCGCGGAATATTTGTGTCACATTCAACTTCAGCTGAACTGTAAACGGCATGGTTTATGGCATCTCAGAATAAATATTGAAACATGTGTGTGTTGATTTATTTTAAAAAACTAATCCGCTACCGCACGCCTGGTTTGTGCCATGGGTCAGGTTAATAAATCTGTTGGTAAAACCTCAAGTGAGGGGCAGGTCAATAAATCTCTTGGTAAAACCTCTCCAGTGACGGACAGGTCAATAAACAACCTGAACAACTCTACCAGAAAGGGACAAGTTAATAAATCTTCAGTATGGACATCCCTCTGATCAGCAAGTATACTTGTTGGATAATCAGTAGTGAGCGGTACATGCAGACTGGCGGTCATTCCACGATAGCACTGCACCCACGAAACAATAGACATAATTTACCCTAGGTTTCTAAGCTGAGTATATATATTGCAAATATATTGCTTAAAAACTCCCTGTTCCGTTCTTCCTTTAGAGGACAAATTATGTGTTCAGCAGTGACCGAATAACGATCTCCAACTCTCTGCACCCACTGACCCCGTTTGGTGTCGTAAAACACCTGTCAACAGCGGGACAAGCCACTATATCAGGGCTTCATGTTGTCGTTTTTACCCGTTAGAAAAACGACCTTGCTTGGCAATAAAACATGGGTTAACATCCATCTGAGTGTACGAAATATAGAGTACTACACGACTTCCCGTGTAACACCAATTTTATGAAACGAGTGAATAGTTGTGGTATCTGATGAGCGAAAGCGACTGAGATACCACAACTATTAATGAGTTTCATAAAATTTATATTACACGGGAGCGATTTTGGCATTTTATTTTTTGAAGAATTTTTATAAGACTTATGTCAGCTGAAAACGAAGAAATTATAAAAGGCTTAGGTAAATTTCTCTCCCAAGTCATGAACATCGAAAGGAAACAGTGTGGAACGGTAAATCATTATTAAATCTACCCAGCATGCAAATATATATACACAGTATATTTCCATTGTATTATGGGCCAGTGGCCTGAAGTACCGAATAAATTTGTCTGTCTGTCTGTCTGTCTATTTTTTCGCTTGCCAACGTTTTTTTAAAAATTTCACTGCCCTGTGTGAATAGGCAGACACCTACACGATCCACAGCATAATCCAATTGGGTTGAACAGAATAATGCTTCAAACAAGTAATAAGTTGACAGGTATTAATTTCCATACAACCACCCACATTTAGAATTCAGGCGTCCGCTCCACAAAGTTAGCGTAGCGCTAAGATTATCGTAACTGACATATTCTAACATAGACTGCCGTTGTGCTAAAATACGATCGCCCTGTGGAACGCGCCCGGCACCACAAAGTTTATAATCACGTCACAATGCCCTTTGACGTAATTCGTTGAAATCTTTTTGGAAGATGCTCCGGCGAAACAATACCATGTGACGTCAGCCTAGCAACAGGGTTGCTGGTGTCATCGAGTGTGAATAAGCTCCTCTCAGTTGTTCTATCACCTCCACACGCAATGTCGTTGAATAAGCCAAGTGATGTTGAAAGCTTTCAATATTTGTTCGCGAAACTTGCTCGGCAATATGTAAGCACGCGTTTTGGTATTACACTATGTGTAGTACAGCTGTATATATGTGTTTACTAAACGGGTGATCACTTCATGGGCATGTAATAAAACATGTTATTACATTATGATACATGAAGTACATTGGATGTGTCCAAGCAGCTATCCCCTATGTACTACAGCCACTTCCTGCTGGGATTTCCGGTCCTATACTTTAGTATAGGCTTAAAATAGTCTTAGCGCTAAGATGGCTGTGTCAGTGGGTCCTGGGTGTCATTAAACAAGAATAAAGTGATACTGAAAACGTACAAATAGGTTCACAGTTTATTACGAGCATCTAAGTGTATCAGTAGGTGATAATATAAAAGATAAAAAACCCAATCTATACTGACAATGACGTTGATTATATATATCAGAGCAAATACACCAGCGGCGTACCTAAGCAACTGTATTACAGTAATAAATTGAGAATAGCTACAAGAACACCTTGACACCTTTTTGCGACCGGATTCCGTCTCAGCTTAAACAGGCCTACCTAAAACAATTGTTATCTCGTTGCGTAATGGTTCATATATATTTCCCCTCATATTATATATATTTCAGATGCAATTTAAGGCACATCGGGACGTGAAAAATTATACATTATGATTGAACACATTTAACCGTGTCTTTGGTATATTTTTGATGCAAGACATATGTAAAATAAAAAAATATTTCTGAGGGATTCTTTGACAAAGAACTTGAAATCATACGCGCATTCTGATCGGTTTGTCGTATTTTCGCACATAACATTCATCGATAGGGGGACGAGTCTTCTTCCAGGTTACGGAAAGGGGCGAGTGGTGACGAATGTGTACAACGAAGACCGCCGGTCTTTGCCGAAAGGTGTCGGAAATTGGGGCAACTAAAAGCGGGGGCGCGGTACGGCCACTAGACCATGACTAGAGACCGAAACACCTACCATTCCTAGACGTGTCCCTCCAAACACCACATAGGGACTTAGAACATCAGTGTACCGCAAGCCTACACACACAGACCGGTACATCCACGACAACTCCTGCCCACCAACCCCAGATAAAACAAGCCATCACCCGATGACAATACTTAGCCGATGCAGTATTTAAATCCAAATACCTGGTGAGGTGAAGTGACATTGGGTTTAACGTTGCGTCCAAGATTATTGCACTTATATAACGACGTGCATGTACGTGTGTCTGTGTGTTTGTGGCTGCTTCTACTAGTCCGGACTGATGCCGATTTAAAGTGCTAGCTCATCACTGAGATACCATGCCGCAGTTTAACATGAATACCCTACTCAGACACAGTATGCTGACTCCGAGCCGACCAGTCCTTGTTTTAGCCCCTTAATGCAGAATGTCAGACAGGGTAACAACAAATACCATCTTTTAACGTCTTTTGGTATGACGCGGCCGGGGATCGAACCCCAGACCTTCCGCACTCCGGGCGGACGCTCTACCACTAAACCACGGAGGCGGTCGTTAAACTGAACAAATGTAACGTCACACATCTTCATGGGAAGATCTTAAATGGGCGAAGCAAGGCAGTCTGGTTTTTTATGGAAGATGATGGCCAAAGAATTAATTAGTCCCCTGATATTTAGTCATCAGCTCGCCACTACATCGGGAAACAATATCCAGATAAGCATGTCCACACTGACGTCTTCTCTTCAAACAGTGGGCACGGAGGCGGTCTCAATACCTGGTAAGTTCACCTGACAGACGTGAGGACAGTATGTGCCAGACACCAGCAAAGTTCGATGTGCGCCCATTCCATTGGATAGCCCCTCTGTTGAAGAGGGAAGTCAAGTCTGTGATTTAAGGGTCTGTGGCAGATTTACTGTGTGGTTATATCCGCTAATGTATCACTTTAAAGTCCATAAAGTCCAAAATCCATGTGTTGTATTTCATTCAAATTATGTTAGGTCAATAAAGCTAGTCATAGTCCATTTTTGTTAACAATCTCTCACTTGTGGGCTTTTTCCTGGGGAAGCTTGAGTGGATTCGGGACAGGACCCCTGTATCCCTGGTTTGAGGTTAGAGGTGGTTACAAAATGTTACAAAGTCACCCTTTTATAAAAGCGACCTTAGAGTTCTGACTATGTTAACTTTATGATGGACGGTACCGCTGAGCGGAATGAAGCACTATCTGGAACTTTTCAGTCTGCCCTGATGGAATGGAGCGGTGCTCATGCTATCAACCACCTGTTTTCCTGGTCTAAACATGGGATGTAACTTAGCTAGTGCTGACTGCTGCGTAACGTACCATTGACTCACCCACGCCAGTGTTTTTCACAATGCCAACATGCTGCGTAAAGCACCATTGATTCACCCACGCAAGTGTTTTTTATAATGCCAACATGCTGCGTAAAGCACCATTGACTCACTCACGCCAGTGGTTTCCATAATGCCAACATGCTGCGTAAAGCACCATTGACTCACCCACGCCAGTGGTTTTCACAATGCCAACATGCTGCGTAAAGCACCATTGACTCACTCACGCCAGTGGTTTCCATAATGCCAACATGCTGCGTAAAGCACCATTGACTCACTCACGCCAGTGGTTTCCATAATGCCAACATGCTGCGTAAAGCACCATTGATTCACCCACGCCAGTGGTTTTCATAATGCCAACATGCTGCGTAAAGCACCATTGATTCACCCACGCCAGTGGTTTTCACAATGCCAACATGCTGCGTAAAGCATCATTGACTCACCCACGCAAGTGTTTTTTATAATGCCAACATGCTGCGTAAAGCACCATTAACTCACCCACGCAAGTGTTTTTTATAATGCCAACATGCTGCATAAAGCACCATTAACTCACCCACGCCAGTGTTTTTTATAATGCCAACATGCTGCATAAAGCACCATTGACTCACCCACGCCAGTGGTTTCCATAATGCCAACACATGGAACCGTCTCTACAAAGCGAACAAAGTGCTGAGACATTGTTTTCAGATCAGGGCAGCAGCATATGCTTATGCGTAAAAAATGAAGACATAATATATCTCGTTCCATGAATGGTGATTATATACACCCGAAGAAAGGTTAAACATAACCCTTTTTTCATATTTCATATCCCGATGTGTCATGTATCTTTTGGAAATATTTACGTGCTGAATTCTACTGTCCATTGATCTCATACTTGCTGAAACGTTAGTATATGAACACTGTATTTTCAGGCAGATTGCCACACGCACCGAATCACATGTTGATGTGTTGTTTGTTGTTTAACGCCGCACTCAGCAATATTCTAGCTATATGACGGCAGTCTGTAAATAATCGAGTCTGGACCAGACAATCGAGTGATTAACATCATGAACATCGATCCATGCAATTGAGATCGATGACACGCATCAACCAAGTCAGCGAGCCTGACCACCCTATCCCGTAAGTCGCCTCTTACGACAAGCGTGGTCGCCTTCTTAAGGCAAGCGTGGGTTGCTGAAGACCTATTCCACCCCGAATCTTCACGGGTCTTTGATGGAAAGAAGCAGAGGGATCATTGGAAGGGTAATGAAATAACTGTTGCCATGGAACAGTAACAAAACATGTCACTGGACAATCTAGTTTGGTGTTTGTAATGAATATGATTATTTTACTTCGAAACAAAATGACTGTATTTCGTGAGAAATAATTTACATAGATTTAAACATGTTCATATGAACATATATAGTAAGCGGTGCTTTGTTTCTTTTCTAAGTGTACAAACACCTCCCTACCTATTTTCTTACACTGTCTTGAGCAAAATAAAAGTTGGAAAAAATATGCAATTGCTGGCAAGCTATAAATTTAGATTGCGGGAAAATCAGTGAGTGAGTGAGTTTGGTTTACGTCATGTAGGTGATGTAGGTCTCAGACGTTTACCACTTCGGTGAAACCCACGAGCACGGGTATGGTGCTGACAAACCTAGAAACATAACCGGGATTCGAACCTATAATCATAGGTTTCTGTCATGCCCAAGGGACGCAACTCTGCACAGCGAATTGCGGCGCCTTAGACGACTGGGCCACCCGTGCCCCCAGTGGATATACGAAGTATTAAAGGGCGTATTAAAGGAGGTTTAAACCTTGAACCCGATGACAGCTAAGATGCAAAGCGTTAAGGGTCAATGTTGCTTCCTGTCGGGCATTATGGTAATGCGATACCAACCATACGGTGGCCCATAAGGGACATGTTTTTCAATATTTTGATATTTCACTGCATGTTAAGGCAAATTGTGTTCATTTGCAAAAGGTTACGATAAAAGTAAGTGAACTATCAAAATATTGAAAAACAGATTCCATGTCCCTTATGGGCCACCATACAACTAAGATAATAAAACTACCATTATTAAGACAGTGAAATGCAATTATTACGTGATAAACAGGACCTTCCTTTAAAACCAGACCGCCTCCGTGGTCTAGTGGTAGAGCGTCCCCGGCCGCGTCATACCAAAAGACGTTAAAAGATGGTACTTGTTGTTACTCTGTCTGGCGCTCAGCATTAAGGGGCTAAAACAAGGACTGGTCGGCTCGGCGTCAGTATACTGTGTCTGAGTGGGGTATTCATGTTAAACTGCGGCATGGTATATCAGTGGGCTAGCACTATAAATCGGCATCAGTCCGGACTAGTACAAGCAGCCACACAAACACACACACGTACATGCACGTCGCAATACAAGTGCAATAATCTTGGACGCGACGTTAAACTCCATTTCACCTCACTTTTAAAACCAACAGACCGCAGCATGTTCAATCGTGTTAAGATTTGAAACAACTACAAGTCCTCTGTTGTCAAAATCGTCTCATGGTGTTGTTTCCGAAGTATGCAAATACATTACTATGCCTCCCACACAACTGATATACCTTACATAATATACATGCTATCAGTCACGTGGCATACTGTGGTATTTCCTGGACTGACGTCACATCGTGGAGCTAACTCAGACCAGTCAATGGTGGCAATGGACAGATTAATCCTCCAGTTACTGTTGCTCCTTAGCGTTACAAGTTCTGATGGTAAGTATTTAAGATCCTGACTTCAGTATTTCATAGTTACCTTTGTGTGGTAATGTTTAGCGAGACACGGGTTTATCTGTGAAGCAGTTCAGTGATCAGTTTTACTATTTTTAGTATTGAACCGGACAACATTTAGTTATCTATGAATGAGTATGATCAATAACGTAGGTATGTAGGTATCGACAATGTGCACACGACCGTGAATTCGAACCGAGACAATGAGCATTTAATGAAAATAATGCTAGTATCATATAATTAACCGTTATTCGAGGAGGAAGTCGTGAGTACAGTCGTACACATGCTTGAACCTGAACGCTGGGTTTGCTATTCACGCCCCAGTAACTACTTCCTTGTTTCGATTAATCGTTTGTGGCTACCTGTGAAATATTATTACAACCTTCATGGAATACTTCGAACGTGGACTGACCGCCTCCGTGGTCTAGTGGTAGAGCGTCCGCCCGGAGAGCGGTAGGTCTGGGGTTCGGTCTCCGGCCGCGTCATACCAAAAGACGTTAAAAGATGGTATTGCTAAAGGACAGAACACAGAGCGTGAACGGATCCCAACAAAACATTGTATATTGCATTGCTAAAGGACAGAACACATTCTACTTAAGACTTGACTTTCACTTTGTCTGAGTTCATTGGAGTATGAACTTACGTAGAGTGGTGATAATTGACATTCTCTTTTTGTATTACTATTTTATGCCCGAATGATGTATCCACATTTTCATGTCGTTCGTGTGACTTAATGTTTAAATGACAACAATCTCATTAAAATCAGACCTTAGTTCTCGCTACGGCTAAACAAAGATCTGAAGACATCCCATAAGGGGTCACGTCAGAACGACCTTTCATCCGACCAATCAGAGCGTCACTTACCAGATCATGAAAGTGACAGTCGGAATGTGATTTCTAATAATACAACCTCGAAAACATTAACACGGGATATTCCGAACGATAGTTACGGGTTTAACGACTGAATCCATACAATCTAGACCATCTATTAGCCATTCCAGAATGTTCTTTCGTGCAGGTTTCAAATTTGTAATCGAGAATTTGTCAACATATGTTTCGAAGCGTAGTCGCCAATTTGAAATTAGTGCCGTAAAGCACGAGAAAGCTGCCTTCTGATTGACCATTCCATTGGTCGGTCAATGTTCGCGCAAGGTCGGTCTGACGTGACCCGTAATGGGATGTCCTCAGACCTTTGTTTAGCGGTAGCGAGAACTAAGGTCTGATTTTAATGAGATTGACACTGACAATTACAAAGCAACAAGTTGTTTGACCGAAAAAAATAGTTCCTCAAGAGGAGAAGTGATATGAAACTTCCGTATGCTCAAACTGCACTGCAGAAACATTTGTTCAGGTTGGTTATAACAAATATATTCAAATTATATCATTAGCTGAAAATTATATCATTCCAAATAATATTACATATGTCCAACTCTTGATAAACTAAAACAATTATATAGCTGCAACCTCTATGTTATAAGAAGAATGGCAAAGTATATATTTCTCGCTCTCAAGAAAAGGAACACTATGCCATTGTAACAATGTGAGACTGATTGTTGCCAGTGTGTGTAACATGTGTTGGGACCCGATCCATGAGTGTGCGTGGGTGATGATCGGCCTCAGTAACCTTTTGTGCATCCTCCTCAGCACTCCGATGAGTGTTGACCACTAGACTCACGAACGTTCGTGGCTTGCGGGCGATTTGTGAATCAGTCCCCTGTAATAGTCAGCGCTCTGAACAGATCAATCAAATGTACCTTGTATAATGGGCCGGTGGCCCCTTCACGGAATAAACTCATTCATATTAGATGAAAGGTATGTTAAGTGCTACTTAAGTATGTCAGTCACGGCGACAGTGCGTTTTTTGTGTTTTTGTTTTTGTTTGTTTGTTGTTTAACGCCGCACTCAGCAATATTTCAACTATATGACAGCGGTCTGTAAATAATCAAGACAGGACCAGACAATCCAGTGATTGACATCATCAGCATCGATCCACGCAATTGGGATACGATGACATGCGTCAACCAAGTCAGCGAGCCTGACCACCCTATCCCGTTAGTCGCCTCTTACGACAAGCATAGTCGCCTTTTACGGCAAGCATGGGTTGCTGAAGACCTATTCTATCCCGGATCTTCACGGGTCACAGTGCGTTGTAATACACTTACATCAAGTACTGGACGTCAGAACGACGACACGATCAACGTGTGACATCAAGGTTGTCAGTGAACCTGTGGTGATAACAAGTGTTGGTGATCATGGATCAACTGCTCACTGAAAGGTGATAATAAAGATGTGTCAAGTAGCTAGTTACATTAATTGGTTGCTGTACACTATCACTGTCTGTCGAGGTGCAGATCGAGTCGATAGTTTGGGTGCGCATTTCTTCGTTTTGGTCACAACGGTAGATTGTAGCGAGGATATTGGTGTTTGTTTGTTTGTTGTTTTTAAAGCCGCACTCAGCAATATTCCAGCTATATGACGGCGGTCTGTAAATAATCGACCAGACAATCCAATGATTGATATCAAGGGCATCGACCCACGCAATTGGAACCAATGACATGCATCAAACAAGTCAGCGAGCCTGACCACCCGATCCCTAGTCACGACGAGCATAGTCGCCTTTTACGGCAAGCGTGGATGGCTGAACACCTATTCTACCCCGGATCTTCACGGGTAGGATATTCGTGGAAGTCCACGGATTTTGTATTTGCAATGTTGGCTAAAGTTCAAGCAATGCTTCAGTATTTATTCGTTTTAGGGAATTCCCAGGGTTGTCCCAGGGGATGTGAAAATACTTTGCCAGTTATTACGTTATTTCAAATATTATGCCGGGTGAAAAAAACCATGAACGTTACAATGTCGATAATTACGCGTATTGACGTCACCTTCTCGTTTATTGGAAAGCCGTATATCGTGTCAACTGTTAAAATTATGATGTGTTGCTGAAGGCAGAACGGTTTAAAATAGGAGGGAGGGTATTTTGTCTGTTATGGGATAGGATGGTCAGGCTCACTGACTTTGTTGATTTCATGTTATCGAACCCCAAACGAATCGAAACGTGGATCGGTTGTCATAATATCAATCAATGGTTTGGCTGTCCCAGAGTTGATCATTTACAGGCCGTTGTCATATACCCGGATTATTTCTATGAACAGTGGTGTATCAAATACAACCAAACAGAGACTGATATCTGTCTAGTAGAGTATGATCACCCTAAATACACAGTGGCGTTGTCAAATCAATGGGAGCGTGTGCTGCAATCTGTTGTCAAATACGTTGTTAAAGGAGCGCCTCCGTGGTCTCCGTGATAGAGCGTCCGCCCGGAGAGTGGACGGTCCGGAGCTCGATGGTACTTGTTGTTACCCTGCCTGGCGCTCGGCATTAAGGGGCTAAGACATAGACTGGGCGGCTACTGTGTCTGAGTGGGGTATTTGTGTTTAGCTGTTGTATGGTATCTCCTGGGCTAGCAATATAAAATCGGCCCGAACTAGACTAGTACAAGCGCACACACACACACACACACACACACACACACACACACACACACACACACACACACACACACACACACACACACACACACACACACACACACACACACTCTGCCCACAAGTAACTAGACATTCGTTATAAAAAAGTGTAAGAGCCAGGGTCAGGCAGATCTAAAACTAATGAATCAACAAACAAACAGAGACAAATTTAAAACGAATATGCTGCACTGAAATTCCGATTTATATGCATAAAGAAACAGATTCGTAAGAAGGGGAGGATACTTGCCTCAGTGTCTTAATCTATCCCTCCGCGCCCCACTGTGTTGCAAAACGCATTTATTCTTAACATGTTTCTTAACTTATAATCAGCAATATCCCTGCACGTGTACACGTCGTAATTCAAAATTCAAAATTAACCTCCCGTTTTCATAAGTTTCAACAAAATTCAGTAATGACGCACTCGTTTACAGTCTGACGTCGCATGACAGGTGTACTGCTGTGCTGCGTCAGGCAAAATATACTTTTTTCATGCTAATTGTATGAGTGACGGGTGCTACAGGTAGAGCAGGACACAATCTCATTAAAATCAGATCTTAGTTCTCGCTACCGCTAAACAAAGATCTGAGGACATCCCATTACGGGTCACATCAGACCGACCTTGCGCGAACTTTGACCGACCAATGGAATGACCAATCAGAAGGCAGCTTTCTCGTGCTTGACGGTACTAATTTCAAATTGGCGACTACGCTACAAATTCTCGATTACAAATTTGAAACCTGAACAAAAGAACATTCTGGAATCGCTAATAGATGGTCTAGATTGTATGGATTCAGTCGTTAAACCCGTAACTATCGTTCGGAATATCCCGTGCTAAAGTTCTCGAGGATGCATGATTAGAAATCACATTCATTTTATGATCTGGTAAGCGATGCTCTGATTGGTCGGATGAAAGGTCGTTCTGACGTGACCCCTACTGGGATGTCCTCAGATCTTTGTTAGGCGATAGCGAGAATTAAGGTCTGATTTTAATGAGATTGGCCAGGACATGGTTATCCTTTACGGGAACACCTGGTGTCATCACTGATTTTCAGTTACTCATTCATATAATATCCACAGCTATTTGCCCTTTACGCCAAGTTGAATCTGTTCCAGCAGAAAATTTAGGCTGGTTATTCTCTCGCATTGACAATTTAGATTTAGAGATAATCCACAGTTTCATAGTTTTCAATTTGACAAACATATTTCTCTCTCTCCAAAATTTGATAACAGAACACTGCTATTCGGCTTGGAGAAATGAGGGAGAGAGTGAGTGAGTTCGGTTTAACGCCGCTTTTAGCAATATTTCAGCAATATCACGGCGGGGGACACCAGAAATGGGCTTCACACATTGTACCCATGTCGAGAATCGAACCCGGGTCTTCGTCGTGACAAGCTAACACTTTAACCACTAGGCTACCCGACCGCCCCCTTGGAGAAATGAAAATATTTTGATCAATACTATAAAGTCGTGGCTTCAATACAAAACGATTTACTTTACCAAATTATGGTTTACAGATGTTTCAGTGTTTCAGTATTCATGGATGAACTTTACATTCAATGTTGCAGATGCTGGGCCTCTAATAGAGCACTGTGAAGCCACGTGTGATAACTGCCAGGGTGGATGGTATGGCAACAAGTGTACCCTTGAATGCACAAATTGTCAGAATGACAAATGTCAGAAAAGTACAGGTGAATGTGACAACTGTGAACATGGTTTTTATGGCAAGAGATGCAATGAGACGTGTTCACCAAACTGCCGAGAGAACACTGCGTGTAACCGTAATAACGGGCACTGTGATGACGGATGTTTACCGTCATACTGGGGAGGTATGTGTGACAGGAACTGTAGCCAAATGTGCAACAATTCTGTTTGCATACACAATTCAGGGAGGTGCCACATGGGCTGCAAAGATGGCTGGACTGGTTTCTACTGTAATATTAGTTGTGAAACAGGCTGCGTCAATAAGACCTGTGCACAGATAAAAGATAAATGTATAGAATGCAAGAATAACAATGGTGTCCTATGTGAAAACAGTGAATGGTGTCTCAATGTTTGCGAACAGTGTAACAAAGATGGACGATGCACAGCAAAGAGTATTGGAAGTAAGTAAACATATTACGATATATACGATTAGTTCAATATTGTACCTTGAAACTATTACTACTTATTTCTTTATTAGAGTCATTTATTGAGACGATCGGAACTTGCAAATTATTGGTGATTATTGGCGCCGTATCCATGTTCTAGTGGATAGAGTGTCTGCCTAGAGAGCGGAATGTCGGTGGTTCGACCCCCGTCCGTGTAATACCGAAAGACTTTTTAAAATGGCATTTTTGTTTCCCTGCCTGTTGCTCGGCATTAAAAGGATAAAACAAGGACTTGTCGGCTCGGAGTCAGTATACTCTGTCTCAGAGGGGTACCTAGACAAACAACTGTACATATATATTAATAAAAAAACATGCATAAAATATGTTATACCATACGATAATAATACAGCGCCAATCATATGAAGTTATGAGGGATGGGACAAAACTAAATGATATAAAGAGATAAAATGTTTTACCCATACATCAAATCTGTTTATACCTCATGTTTAAAAAAGACACATAGCTTCTCATTGTTTGACAGGTTTAAAAAGTTGGATAATTTAGCCGCTATACTTGATTTTATTTGTTTATTGTTTAACGCCAAACTCAGCAATATACCAGATATATGACGGCAGTCTGTAAATAATCCAGTGATTGACATCATCAGCATCGATCCACACTTTTGGGATACGATGACATGCACCAACCAAGTCAGCGAGCCCGACCACCCGATCCTGTTAGTCGCCTCTTACGACAAGCATAGTCGCTTTTTACAGCATGGATGGGTTGCTGAAGGGAGGTTGCTATTCTACCCCGGATCTTCACTGGTCGGTGGGGACACCAGAAATGGGCTTCACACATATTACCCATGTCGGGAATCGAACCCGGGTCTTTGGCGTGACGAGCGAACGCTTTAACCACTAGGCTACCCGACCGCCCTTTTTCCGTATTAGAGCAAGTGGTGATGTTAGATATATGCTGCCTGTTTAAGTCGACCGATTTGGCCGAAGAACCTGAATTCCAAATCTAATGAATAGTGGCAAGCATTTTCCCCCATTTAAAGATATGTTAATTTAATCGATCAGGCATATTTTTGAAACGGCACCACTGTCTAGCTGTACATATCAAATGTCTGGAGGTATCCACCCTGTAGCCTCATTAAGAGCTAGATTAGGTGCATACATATCTGTATACTCCAAGGTAAAACCTGAAAGCCAGGTAGTGTACTGCATTAACAGCAGAAACATGACGGTTACCCATACAGATGAGTTACTCCAGGACAGATCACACCACAGTGTCATATAACTTATACAACGTATGTAAAGTGTGGCAATGCACACATCCGATTGCTTTAAATTTGGAAATAATTGGGCTTAAAATCTGTTTGCTGATATGGCCGCAGCCTTTGTCATTGCATTTTCATCAGATCAGTCAACAATAAATCCAGGTAGATGTTACAGGAAGCAATACTTAAAGCCGAACTACCAAAAACAAACGTTTCTGTGGTTCTTAGGACTCTAGGATTTGTCAAATGTACAACCTGCAATTTTCTGATTCAGCATTCGCTAAGGTCCAAATAATGAATGGTACCATCAATATTGTTATCAGTTTTGGAATCAGTCATAACATCCAGGAAGTCATTGATGAAAGAGTTAAACAGTATAGGGGACAATAAACATCCTTGTGTCAGACCATGATTAACAATAACCCCGAGTGTAAACACGCCATTTACTCGCACTCTACATTTAACGTTGTGATTGAGTTACTGAAGCGCTACCAGCATCTTCCCATTGGTACCAACATCGTGAGGTTCTTGAGAATACAGTGTGAATGTGGTTCATAATGGACCTCTTTTTCGTAAACCATTTTGAGCATTGTTCCGAACATCATTAGATTCTGCTCAATATTGTAATCGTTGATTAATCTGTAGGATTCAATGTAGAGCTCTTTGGTTTAGGGTCATTTTTACCTTGACAACTGCGAGGGAATATTACCAGTATTAAAACAAACAGTAAATATTTTATGCATTGCTGAGATAACATTTTGAGACTTCAAACATTCGGTAAGAATATCATCTGTGCCATGCGCCTTGCCAAGATGATTTGTCTATAGTACGAGCGACTTCAAAAATTGTAATATTAGCATTGAAGATATCCATGTTAAACTGCAGCATGGTATGTCAGTGGGCTTACACTATAAAAGAGTCTTTAGGTCACATCAGCACAAGCAGCCACACATGCAGGTGCATGCTCGTTGCTATATAAGTGCAATAATCTTGAACGACGTTAAACCCAATTTCCATTTTCTATTTCATGTGGCAATGATGCCATTATGCTCTCCCCTGTTGGATTAGAACTAACGTCACATTAAAACATAGATGGATTATGCGTGAACAGAACCAATAATTTAGCGCAGTTGTGAACAGTGTTTCAGTTATATCACGGCGTGTCAGCTTGATGTGGGAGTAAAACACTATCCTGACGCACCTTTGAAACTTTGGCGAAACATCATCACTGATAAGGTGACTAGCCAGGCAGCATAATTTAGGCGAATCGAGGATTCGCACACGGGAACTTCGAAGTTGTAGTTGAGATACATGACATAAAACAATTTTCTGATTTGAACTTTGCATCAATAAAGATCCATTGCAGGTACGATTGTGTGATTTTCATGCTGATTATAATGTACATGGGTATGACATGTTGATTCTTTAGGTAAAGAGGAGAATGGCGCCGTGGACGAATCCGAATCTAACGTGGCAGCAACAGTTGGTGGCGTGGTTGGTGCAATCCTGATTGTACCTACAGTTGCCGGGGCTATAGTGGTATACAGGAAATGGTCGCGTAAGCACCAAGGTTTGTTCTTAACATTCTAGTCAGTACATGTATGAAGCATTCATAGACAACGTTAACTGGCATCAGAGTTCTTCACATTTAATGTAATTCATAAAAATTATGTAGGCGATGATTCTTAACTTAAAGTTTAATATACAAATTGTTACAGTCATACGGTCAGTGATGCCTGACACTACCAAGTAATGCTAATGCCATCCAATCCTTTAAGTGGTTTTAAATAGCTGTAGTTTCAGTAAAGACATGATTGAATTATTAATTCAAGCTCCAATTCGTACCGAAACGTCTCTTTGGGTTGCGTTCTTTGTTGAAATCCATAAGTCGCTTTGAAAGAGTCATTTAGTTGAAACTCATGAGTAAAAACCCTTTTGGCCAATTTGGACGGTCGTTGAATGTAAACTGTGCTTCATGCTCGATATCATACTCCAGTAGGGCAGTGCATAATTGTTTCCATTCTTTGTGTTCATGTGACAGATTCACAGTAATGTTTATCCTAAGACACTTACGTTTTAATAATATGTTATGTTGCTGAAGAGAGTGTGTAACTTTGTTTAAGGTTGTCGACTTGAACATGGACCACAGGCGCCTGAAGCCGAGGAAGACCCTCTAAATAAGCTTTGAAGTCATTTCCACGTCTGATGAGACATTACTTTTGCGGCCTAGGGAGTCCAGGGCGTCTTGATGGCAGGTCATACGGTCCTATTCTTTGTAACGAGCTTACGATAGGTACAAACAAGGTATAAGAACACGTTGGAATACCACCCTGTAAGCGCTTGTAAAGACGAAGAAGAATAGCAAGACATCCCTCGAGAACCTCACCAGAAGCCAGGAAACATCAGTAACCAGTCTACTCAAGGATTGTCGACTGAATGAGGTTTCTCAAAGCTATGACACGTGAACTGAAACCTGCTCATTCCCACGTTTAACCTGGCGATGCCTGTAACCATTTGCTGGTGACAAGGACGTTTTATGAACAGTGGCTGTGACAGTGTCAAACATTCTAGGTGAAGTCATTCGAAAGTGTGACAGTGTTCGTATTCACTTTGAGGTTCAATCATTCCTGTATGTATATAAAGGTCAAAAGTCAAAGTCAAAATACGTTTATTGTACGGAAGCCCCTGGGCCCATATTCATATGCAATGAGTGAGTGAGTGAGTGAGTTGGGTTTAACGCCGCTTTTAACAGTATTCCAGTTATATCGCGGCGTGTCAGCTTAATGTGGGAGGAAAGCTCGAAGTGATGCAGGTCTCAGACGTTTACCACTTCGGTGAAACCAACGAGCACGGGTATGGTGCTGACAAACCTAGAAACATAATCGAGGCGAACCGGGATTCGAACCCACAATCATAGGTTTCTGGCGTGCCCAAGGGACGCAACTCTGCACAGCGAATCGCGGCGCCTTAGACGACTGGGCCACCCGTGCCCCCTCATATGCAATGGTTATGCATAAATTCAATCATAGATGTGAAACATTGGGATATACACGTTGTTTGATAAGTTCATTTCGTTTGGCTAAAGCACGTCAAAAGAGAAAGATTTAATAAATTAGATTCGTCCTTTGTCGTTAGAATAACTACAAAAGTGACAGTGACATGTGTATTAAATCATTTTTGACATATTTCTTTCGAAGATCACTGTAATATGGACAGACAGCGACAAAATCAATTTCATTTTCTTTCTATAAAGTACTTAATGGACAAATTATTTTCGACTTTTCTTTCTTCGTTTACAAATAGGGCTAATAAACCAAGTAATAGCAATATTTATAGCGTGAACTGCCCACTAAAGTGGAATGCCATTCTTGTGGAACATATTTATAGATCGATTTCGAATTTTCTTTAGGAAACATATACATTTCCGACTGACCGTGGATCACGTTTGCTCATGTCATGGTTTAGTGCCGACACCGCTGGCTAAATTGTTTTGTATATTTGTGATGATTGGGTTTATCTTATCTTTTATGGTCAACCATTAGTACAATTAGCAGTTATTTTATAAACCTGTGAACCTATTACCATGTTTTCTTCATCACTTTATTCTTATACACCCCTGATCATTGGAGCACAGCTCCATGACACCGATATAGACACATAAAACCAAAGCCGTGAGAAAATTAAAACAATAGACAGATATAAATTTTTCAGAAAATAAAATTTTAAAATGGGGCATTTGTTACGAAATGTGGTGACCATAGATATATTTATACATCTTAAAATACAGGACTATTTGTCAAAAATGAAAACAAAATTCCTATGAAGTGTACGGAATAAAACTCATATTCAAAGGCCTCGGGAAAGCTTTCAAAAAGTTTTATGGTAGAAGCTTGGGGAACATTTCCTAAGTTGACGCATCAGTGACAGAAATGATGACTCATTGAATGCCCTATTTGGCTTGTTCCGTGTGTTCCCGTGCCTTTTCGGGTCTTTACTCTGCGACAAGCTCGTCCTGTATTCATACAGGGAACATTGAACAATTGCTTCACTCTTCTTTGTCCGGCAGATTCTGATCATGATGCTATTCAAGTTATTATGTTGAGCAGGACGTTTGAAAGATAAAACCAGCGTTTCAAGCAACGCTCAGAAGTACAGTTCTTGTAATCAACAAGTTCTACAAATCACGTTTAATTTGTTCCATTTCTTTATTGAATTATTCGTAGTCAATATTGTCCAAATTATGTCATATAGCCCGTATATACTGTTATTCTGTGGTGCCCAGATTAGTGCTCATGATCACCTTCGCCATCCAAATCAATGGTAGACATCGAGCGACCAGTGGAGGTCCGGGGTAGAATAGGTCTTTAGCAACCCATGCTTGCCGTAAAAAGCGACTTTTCTTGTCGTAGGAGGCGACTAACGGGATTAGGTGGTCAGGCTCGCTGACTTGGTTGATGCATGTCATCATATCCCAATTGCGTGGATCGATGCTAATGATGTCAATCACTGGATTGTCTAGTCCAGACTCGATTATTTACAGACCGTTGTCATACAGTTGGAATATTGCTGAGTGCGGCGTCAAAAAACAAACAAACAAACAAACAAACAAAGCTCATTGCAAGCGCTGCTTAATCTCCCAAAATGGTTCCTGTTATATTTTAACGTTATTCTTTTTTTACAAAAAAGATCTAACTGGTAGTTATAACTGACAAGCTTATCTTAAGTCAAGTAAATGTGTGGTTTCACGCCGTTTGAAGCAGTATTCCAGCAATGTAACGGCAGGTAGCATCAGAAATGTTCTTCAGACATTGTACCCCGTACAGGAATCGAACCCGAACCTTCGACGTGACGAGCATGCTTTCACCACTAATTCAGCTACCCATCGCCCCCATAATAAGATAATTTCCACAGGGCGCTGTGACATTATCGAAACTATGGGGGACTGGTGATACGGTAGCTAGCTCCCGTAATGACTGGGGCATTTAACCCTAACATGAACAAAAACGTTATTTTGACTATCGATGTTGCCATGGCACAGTTACTACAATTGAAAAGCGCAGCGTTCCCGTCACAACCAACACGTTGTGAATAATGATAAGGGTAATCCCCTGTTTGTGGTTTAAGGTAATTGATAACTGATGAAAAATAGTCACTATGTCCGTGGTGGATTTATTGTGTGGTTATACCGACAACTTTACCACCTCAAAAGCCGATAATAGCACTTTACGATTTGTTGTATTAAATTCAAATTCTTTAGGTCAATAAAGCTGGCATGAGTATTGATTTGTTGACAATCTGTCTCAAGTGGGCTCTTTCCTGGGGAACCTCGTGTGGATTCGGGACATGACCCCAGTGTCCCTGGTTTACCGAGATTGTTACAAAGGGTGAAAAAAGGCCATCTGTCAACAAAGCGATTTCAGAATCTTGACTATTAAATTCTATGCTGTTCGGGATTGCCGAGCGTAATTAAGCCCTGTTGGCAAGTTAGTGTTTCATGATCAGTCTGCCCTGTTGGCAAGTTAGTGTTACATGATCAGCCTGCCCTGTTGGCAACGTAGTGTTTCATGATCAGTCTGCCCTGTTGGCAAGGAAGTGTTTCATGATCAGTCTGCCCTGTTGGCAAGGAAGTGTTTCATGATCAGTCTGCCCTGTTGGCAAGGTAGTGTTTCATGATCAGTCTGCCCTGTTGGCAAGGAAGTGTTTCATGATCAGTCTGCCCTGTTGGCAAGGTAGTGTTACATGGTCAGTCTGCCCTGTTGGCAACGTAGTGTTTCATGATCAGTCTGCCCTGTTGGCAAGGAAGTGTTTCATGATCAGTCTGCCCTGTTGGCAAGGAAGTGTTTCATGATCAGTCTGCCCTGTTGGCAAGGTAGTGTTACATGATCAGTCTGCCCTGTTGGCAAGGTAGTGTTTTTTATGATCAGTCTGCCCTGACGGCAAAGAAGTGTTTCATGATCAGTCTGCCCTGTTGGCAAGGTAGTGTTTCATGATCAGTCTGCCCTGTTGGCAAGGTAGTGTTTCATTATAAGCCTGCCCTGTTTGCAAGGTAGTGTTTCATGATCAGTCTGCCCTGTTGACAAGGTAGTGTTTCATGATCAGTCTGCCCTGTTGGCAAGGTAGTGTTTTTTATGATCAGTCTGCCCTGACGGCAAAGAAGTGTTTCATGATCAGTCTGCCCTGTTGGCAAGGAAGTGTTTCATGATCAGTCTGCCCTGTTGGCAAGGTAGTGTTTCATGATCAGTCTGCCCTGTTGGCAAGGTAGTGTTTCATGATCAGTCTGCCCTGTTGGCAAGGTAGTGTTTCATGATCAGTCTGCCCTGACGGCAAGGTAGTGTTTCATGATCAGTCTGCCCTGACGATATGGTAGTGTTTCATGATCAGCCTACCCTGACGACATGGTAGTGTGTCATGATCAGCCTGCCCCCACAGCATGGTAGTGTGTCATGATCAGCCTGCCCCCACAGCATGGTAGTGTGTCATGATCAGCCTGCCCCCACAGCATGGTAGTGTGTCATGATCAGCCTGCCACCACAGCATGGTTTGTTTCATGATCAGCCTGCCCCCACAGCATGGTAGTGTTTCATGATCAGCCTGCCCCCACAGCATGGTAGTGTGTCATGATCAGCCTGCCCCCACAGCATGGTAGTGTGTCATGATCAGCCTGCCCCCACAGCATGGTAGTGTGTCATGATCAGCCTGCCCTGACGACATGGGTCGTTGCTCACGCTGTCAACCACCAATGTTCCTGGCCGAACCTGGGATGTAACTTAGCTACTGCTGTACTGCTACGTAAAACACAACTGACTCGCTCTTGCCTGTCTTCCCATAATACCAACAAAGGGGACCCTCTTTACAAAGCTATCACAGTGCTAAGACGTGTATTTCCCTATCTGTTGAGCAGGTATACAGAAACTGCACGCTAGTGGCTGATCCTTATGCATAGCATATGTAGACATATTGTACCTCGTGTATGAATGATGAAACTATACACCTGATAAAACCTAAGGCACACCTCATATTTAGTCTTCTATCGCGAAAGGCCACGTGTTGAATGTTGATAAATGTTCACTGATGACTGATGCTTTGTGAAACGTTGGTTGAAACACCGTATGTCAAGCCAGATGGTCACAAGCACTGAACCACATGATCCACAGAAGCAGTGGAAGCCCACAAAAGGGTAACCAAATAACTACTGCGACTGAACAGTTCCAAACTATGTCTCTAGATAATCTATGTTGGTGTCTGTATTGCTTGTAAGAATGTCATTGTGAAGAAATAGGACTCTATTTCACAATAAAATAATAATACAGGACACGGTTTTTAATAATTGCTATCTCCTACAGAAATAAACAGTAAACGGTGCTTTGTGTATTTCCAGGTGTACAGTGCCTGCCTATTTCTGCTGTCTTTATTTAAAACCAAACTATGAAACTTGGAAAGTTAATACAACAGCAGGGTAGCTATAGATTCAGAATGCAAGTAAAAGTAGGTACAAGCAAGGAGGTAAAAAATGAGACCACGATTACAGCTTTGATACAAAATTAAGGTTGCTTCGTCTCGGGCATCGAGAATCAAACAAACTCCCATTAGGTTGGTTGGATTGTTGTTTAACGCCGCACTCAGCAATATCCCAGCTATATGACGGCGGTCTGTAAATAATCGAGTCTGAAACAGACAATCCAGTGATTGATATCATGAGCATCGATCCACGCAATTGGGAACGATGACATGCATCAACCAGGTCAGCGAGCCTAAACCAGATCCCGTTAGTCACCTTTTACGACAAGCATAGTCGCCTTTTACGGCAAGCATGGGTTGCTGAAGACCTAACTCCAATTAAGATAAGGAGGACACTCACTTAAAACGAACAGACGGAAGATGGTTTGTCATGTTGTCAAACTTAGAAACACCTATATGTACACCTGCACACTCAAGTTAGACGCACAGGATACGATTTTTAATAATTTACAATTTGCTATTTCATATAGCAATACACCCTCTCCCTCCCCATATGAATATATTTTTTTTTCTAAATCCCGGATTCGCCTTTGAAGAGGACATTTGATTATACCTAACAGACCGCAGACATTTTCTATTTGATCATGTAAACACATTTGTATAACCTTTGTGTAAGCCCACCCTTTGTGTGTTTTCCAAGTATGCAACTACATCATAATGCCTCTTGTACGACTGATCACTGACGCGTGACACTGCGGTCTGCACACCCGACTGAGGAGACACTGTGTAGTCGACTAGTACCCCAGGCTATATTCAACAGTCCATGATGGTAATGGAAGGCGTCGCCCACCTGTTGCTGTTACTCCTTTGTTTTACAAGTGCTGCTGGTAAGTATCTAAAGTCATCATTCTCAGTATTACATACCTTTGTGTGATAACGTTTAGCCACATACGTATGCCTAGTGTAGAGCACCTGAGTGATCAGTAATTCTACATTATTATTTTAGTATTTGAAAGAAAACACCGTTTAGTTATCGATTAAGTTATGTACTCTTTAGCTTAGGTATGTATGTATCAGAAATATCCAGACTATACGAACCAAGGTAACGCGTGCTAAATGAATATGAATTTACTCATAATATTAATATGCAATTGACCCTTATTCGAGAAGAGGGTCGTGAGTACGTTCATGCCCATGCTTGAACCTGTACGCTGGGTTTGAAAGGCACCTCCCACTAACTACTTCCTTGTTTCGATTTGGTCGTGTGTGGCTACCTGTGAAATAGACCCGTGAAGATCCGGGTTAGAAAACGTCTTCAGAAATTGGGTCTTTGGTCATAGATCTTTGGTCATATCCGATGCGACCTAAAATCGTTATTCACACACTGTTTGGTCATATTATTAATCACTGGATTGATTGGTCCAGATTCGATCATGTACAGGCCGATGTCACGTACATGTAGCTGGAATGTTCCTGTAAATAGTGATCGGCTACACAATAGACAAACGAAGACTTCTAGTAGAGTGTAATCAATCTTATTGTACAGAAACATTTGAATACTTGTTAAAGGTAACGCACACGCCACTTGACATCTGTTATAAATAATCTTTTTTTTCGACTTTAAAATACAGCATCAAGTAACAAAATACTTCGTAAATAGATTTCAAACACCGCCTTAAAATTTTAAGAAATCAATAAGTAAATATAACACATATCTGCTGCAGGGAAATGCCATGCAGTACATTCGTAATACATGTACATGGGGATTTTTAATTTCGTGCTTCGGTGTCCGTAATTATTTGAAGTAGCCCGTATATTTTACCGACTACTAACAAGAAGTCGACATCAGCCAATTAGAAAGCAGCTTTCTCGAGCTTTACGGCACTCGTTTCAACCTGGCGACTTCCATTTCAGACTACGCTTGAAAAATATGTTGACTCAGTTCTCGATTACAATTTTGAAAACTGAACATTCCGGAATGTCTAATATATGGTTGAGATTGTATGGCAGTTATTCCCACGTACTGTGCAACGGCTCCTCTGTTCAAATGTTTATCCCACGGAAGCGATAGATAAACGATAATTTTGACAGAATCAGTCGTACGGGCCGTAACTGTCGTTCGGAATACCCCGTGTTAACGTTCACGCATGATTAGAAAACACATTACGACTGTCACTTTCATGACTTTCTGGTAAGCGACGCTTGGATTAATCGGATAAAAGGTCGTTCTTATATGCTTATTACGGCTAAAATAAGTAGTCCCTTCGAGTTCGTTATAACCGTATTTACTGTATTTACATTCGATGTATAGAAGTCTCATGGACAAATTTGAAGTGATATTTTCTTTTCTACCACATTTAGTAGCAAGAAAGCTCGACACAATTCGAATACAGCTTAAAATTCGGTTTCAATGGCATAAATCTTGACACTATTCGCTTTCAATAGCAATTCGCATCCATTACCATACGACTTCTTTCAATGGCAGAAAGCGTGACACTATTTTATACAATTCTCATTCAGTGGCATACAACTTAAGACAACTCGCATTCAATGGATTCAACACTATTTTAAGCCTTGTAGCCATATCAGATTATCATTATCCTTTTTATAGTTATTACTTAAGTTTATATTCAATGTTGCAGATCCCCCATATCAGATTATCATTATCCTTTTTATAGTTATTACTTAAGTTTATATTCAATGTTGCAGATCCCCAAGACTGCTTAAAAGGCTGTTCCCTTCAATGCACAAATTGTCAGAATGACAAATGTCAGAAAAGTACAGGTGAATGTGACAACTGTAAACATGGTTTTTATGGCAAGAGATGCAATGAGACATGTTCACCAAACTGCCGAAAGAACACTGCGTGTAACCGTAATAACGGGCACTGTGATGATGGATGTTTACCGTCATACTGGGGAGGTATGTGTGACAGGAACTGTAGCCAAAGGTGCAACAATTCTGTTTGCATAAATATTTCAGGGAAGTGCCACCTGGGCTGCCAAGATGGCTGGACTGGTTTCTACTGTAATATTAGCTGTCAAACAGTCTGCGTCAATACGGCCTGTTCACGGGAAACAAATGAATGCATTGAATGCAAGAATTACAAAAGTGGTGGGTGTGAAAACAGCAAATCGTGTTTCAATGTTTGCGAACAGTGTAACAAGGATGGAGAATGCACAGCAAAGAGTATTGGAAGTGAGTGAACACATTACGATATATACGATTAGTTCAATATTGTACCCTGAAACTATTACCACCCATGTCTTTATGCGTTTTTAATATTGATTCGAATTTACAATTATTCGTGATTATTGGGACCCTCTCCGTGGTCCAGTGGTCCGAGCGCCTGACCAGAGAGCGGGAAGTCGTTGGTTCAATACCCGACCGCGTCATACCTAAACACTTTCAAAGATGGTACAAAAGATGGTGTTACTTGTTGTTACCCTGCCCGGCGCTCGGCAGTAAGAGAATAAGAGAACTGTTTGGCTAGAAGTCAGTATACTCTCTGAGAGGAGTATCCATGGTATCTCAGTGGGCTAGCACTATAAAAGCGACATGATGGCAGATTGGTTCAAGCAGCCACACACACACACGTGCATGAATGTTGCCATATGTGTACAATAATCTTGAACGCAACGTTAAACCCCATTTCTCCTCAACTCACCACGGCGATTACAGGTTTCTGGAAATTTTTCGCTTCCATGTCATGTTCCATTCCATGTGGCAATTTGTTCTTTGCAACAGAACTGAGGTTCACAGACATGAGCTTTGCGCACATAGAGCCAATGGTGAGTTTGGTTTAATGCTGTTGTGTGTGGGGCTTAGTGTGGGGGCAAAACAACAAAACGACGCACCTCGTAGGCGTTTCTAAACATAACTGCCAGTCATCGGGAGTATCGCAGCTGTTTATCAGATGTAAGACAGAGAGAATTCTTCTTATTTTAGCTATGCATCTATTAAGATCCAAGGCAAGTAGGAATGTGTGATGTTCATGCGATAATAATGTAAAAGGGTATACCATTTTTATTCTTTAGGCTCCGAAACAATCGTCGCAGCAATAGTTGGCGTGGTTGGTGCAATCCTGATACTTCTCATACTTCTCGTTGCCGTGGTTATATACAAAAAATGGTTTTGTAAGCCCCAAGGTTTGTTCTTAACATTCTTCTCAGTACATGAATTAGCGTTGCATATAGAACGTTAAATGGAGCACTTAATGGAGATTTAATGTACGTCATATGCTGATGATGCTTTAACTTATTATGTTATATACAAAACTGTTACATCTATGCAGTTAACGATCCCTGACACTTCCCGATGATGTTAACGTCATCCATACCTCTAAGTGGTATTACGAAGCTGTAGTAGCAATGAAGAATGGATTGGGTTGTGGATTTCAGCTTATTTAGTCTTTCAATGCATACTGAAACGTCCAATTGAAAGGAAGAAGTTGAAATTCATAAGTCGGTTTTAAAGATTCATGAAGTTGAAATCCTTAATTAAACATTTCTTCAATGATACGTCCTTCAAGCACGATATGGTACTCCTGTAGGGCAGTACATAATTGTTTGCCTTTTCATGTGACCAATACACGAGGATATTTATCCTGAGACATATGCGTTATAATAATATTTCATATGGTTGAAGAACGCGTGTAACGTTGTTTTAGGTGATTATGGGTCACAGGAGCATGATGCCGAGAACTTAACACTTCAAGAAAGGAACAGCCCACAAAGTGATGCCGGACACTTATCAGAGAAATTTCCACTTAGGTAGGCTTGTGAATAAATTCAACATCTGATGAGAGAAGTGATGTCTTACGCGGCCCAGGAAGTCCCGGGCGTCTTGATGGCAGTTCACACGGTCCCATCTATTCTGTGGAACTACGATCTTACGATAGGTATAAATACAGTGTAAGAACAAATTGGAAAAAAACTCTGTAAGCTCTTGTAGAGTCGAAGAACAATGTTAGCACATTCCCCGAGAACCTCTCCAGACGCCAGGAAACATCAGTTGCTGGACACATCTACGCCAGGATTGTGGACTGAATGAAGTCTCTGATAACTGTGACAGATGAACTGGAACCCATTCCGATGTTCAACTGGTGCGGCAGTAAGAGTTGAGTTGAGTTGAGTTGAGTTGAGTTGAGGTTTCTGGTTCAACACAACATTTTAAAGATGAAAGCATAAAAGAAAGTCATCATTCCCGAGAAAGGTTATTCCAAACTTTTAATGTGACGGTTTTAAAAGCATCTGCTCGATATTACATTGTCATAATGTAAACTAGTTTGAGATGCGAATCTTGGTATGCCAGTAACTAGATACTTCCAACTGATCTAATTTATAAGTGTTGACAAATGTTCAGTAATCTCAATTTTCAGAAGAGTATTTGAGAAAATGTCGTTTAAAGCAATACAGAGTTTAGAAAATATTGATCAATCAAGTATATATTAAGGTTTTCGAGAAGAAACATCATTTTAGATGCAGATTTTGGGATACTGTGAATATGGGATAGCGAATGCGGTTTAGCTATATCGTTTGTGTGACTGACAAACATGTATGCCGTTCGTTACGAGATTAATTGTTACAACCAATTAAATGCCCAGTCGTAGAGGTAATTTAGATTCTGAAGGTCGGTTTTTAGATTGTTGCAGCAAAAAAATTATGTAAAGCTTGACAATAAACTAACATTTTCTACATACGTGTTTTTGTTACACCTGTTAAATGTTAACAGATAATGCGATATGGTTTATTCCGTATTTTTACAGTAAAGTTTCTTTTATGCTTAAATTTGTTGTTATGTTTTGCAACAGAAACCTCTTTTAGATACATAAAACCTTTTCACACCAAAACAGTGCGTATGAATACATTGATAACGTACATATAGATCCATAAAAAAACAGTGACGATATTTCCTAGTTTAGACGCTTGGTCTCTAATACACACTGGGTCAACGGTCGTCACGATATGGCTGAAATATTGCCGATGTGACGTTAAATATTAACTCACTCACTCACTGGGTCAACGGCTCTCGCGAAATTAAGAGACGCCCGAGTGTCTAATAGAGAAAATATGATACGTTTGATAGGCTATCGGATGTTTTTGGTGACTATTTTGACGTCCTTGGCCGTAACACTGATTGCTTCAATGATGAGATTACGAGATTGGGGGTGTAATTGCTATCCTACCAATAAGAATTACACATTTAAAAATACAAAGTAGAATATTAATAAAAAAAAGTCTGTTGGAGAAATAAATTCGTTTAGCATTCTTTTCACTATTTATGCAACCTGCCACCCCTACAACGGGAGATGGCATATTCGATTTCCAAGGAATTACTTGTCGCGCTGATTTCCAAGAAGTGACTTGGTAAGTCCTGACAGTGAACAACAGGTTGCGATGAAATTAGAAGATATAGCTCTTCGCCTTAACGACATTTTAGCAATATTCCAGCAATGTCAGGCGAAGGACATGAGCTTCACACATCATACCAATGTGAGAAATCGAACCCGGGCCTTCGGTGTGATGAGCAAATGCTTTCACTACTAGGCTACCCCTATCCCCCATCCCCCATCCCCCCCCTATCCTACACCGTTATCACCATATGTGTCATTGCAAAGTGTTCACATACCAGAATCGCAAAAAGCTATATGCTTGTCGAAAGAGGCGACTAAAGCGATCGGGTGGTTAGGCACCTGTCATGGTTGATGCATGTCGTCGTATCCCAATTGCGTTGGTCGATGCTCATGATGTCAAATTACTGGATTGTCTGGTCCAGACGCGATTATTTAGAGACTGCAGCGATATAGCTGGAATATTGCTGAGTGCAAACAAATAAACAAACACACACTTACCAGAATCCTTATGTGGTGGCAGATGCACAGCGCCCACATCACCGACAAGGGTCAGTTACGAAACAGTTTAGAAAGTTCGTAGGCAGATACACATCATAATGCCTTGGGGTTGAGTAAACAGAAATGTCCATCAAAACAAACCTTTCAGGTTTCAATACTTCTGTTTCATACTATGCATGTATATACCGCACTTATCCAGGTATTAGTGACCCGTGAGGATCCGAGGTAGAATAGGTCTTCAGCAAGCCATGCTTGCCGTAAGAGTCGACCTAGGGGATCGGGTGGTCTGGCTCGCTGACTTAGGTGACGCATGTCATCGTATCCCAATTGTGTGGATCGATGCGTATGATATTAATGACTGGATTATCTGGTCCAGACTCGATTATTTACAGACAGCCGTCGGGGCGGTCGGGTAGCCTAGTGGTTAAAGCGTTCGCTCGTCACGCCGAAGACCCGGGTTCGATTCCCGACATGGGTACAATGTGTGAAGCCCATTTCTGGTGTCCTCGCCGTGATATTGCTGGAACATTGCTAAAAGCGGCGTAAAATCAAACTCACTCACTCACTTACAGACCGCCGTCTCATAGCTGGAATATTGCTGAGTGCGGCGTTAAACAACCAACCAACCAACCATGTATTAGTTCTGCTTAAATGAGGTTTATTTGTTCCCCGACCAGTGGATCACCAGTTCTCAACTCCATGAGGAATATACAAACCAAGCTGCCTACGAGGGCTTGAGGGTTTTTACATACAGCTCACATATCGGGTACCCATTTCCTGCTTGGTGAACAGAAGCACATATTTATTTTCTGGAAATGAACATCGCTATCGTGAAAATATACCAAAGGGGCGGGCAATGTAGTGGGTCATGGAAACAAAAAAATGTTTTAAAGAGCCTAATAGACTGCTTGGAACCGACATATATGCCAGCATAATAACAAATACCACTAGACACGCTTCATACAAGCAATATTGTATATCGTGACGGATATGCTATTAAGAAAGGCTGTTATACAAATAATTATTCAAAAATAAATTGGAATACATAATTTGTGCTCACTGTCTTGAAAAGAAAAGGCTCTTCGTTGCACATGTTTTGAAGCAGTATCCGAAAAAATATCCTGTCTCTAACAAAGCACTACCCGCTTGTTGTGTGTAGACGCTTGTACTCTTCTTGGTGCCAATCATATCAAAGTAGCTTTCTGTTGGACTATGCTTTTCTGCTTAGCTATGCGATGGTTGATTAAACACATTGCGTTGGTACGAGGGGCTTTCAATAAGTTTTGCAACTTCAATATAAGACCAATCGCAGAATAACGTTTGCACTTTTATTTTTCAACATAATCTGTAGGGTTGGTGATTTAACTGTACAGCCCAGACTTAGCCCCGAGTGACTATTTCCTGTTCCGGAAGACGCTTCCAGGATGACGAGGACATAAAGGCTGCCACAGAGGCGTGGTTAGAGGGCCAATCTGCGGATTTCTATAAAAGTGGTATCAAAAGCTTGAAGGACAAATGGAATAAGTGTTTTGAGGTGAATGGAGATTATTTTGAAAAATAAAAGTGCAAAAGATATTCTGCGACTTGGTCTTATATTGAAGTTGCAAAACTTATTGAACGTCCTCCGTATTTCTAAAGTTGCCCTTGGCTCCCTCGCCAAGCACACATAAGTGACAATAATATTTGTGTGTTGGGTTTGTATATAGATTCAATCACCTGACTGTGTTAAAAACACAAAGTCGATAAGGGTGATTCGTATCAATGCTGTGAATGCCCGTGACATGTACCTATAGTAGCTTTCTTGGGGAAACAATTTCGGATATGTTGACACGGCGGCTGATAAGGGTGTGCATGTCGTGACTGTCCCTGTCACAGTGTATAACAGACCCGTAGCAAGAGGTGTGTGTGTGAGTGTGTGTGTGGTGTGGTGTGGTGTGTAAGACTGAGTGTATGTGTGTGTGGTGTGTGAATGTGTATGTGTGGTCTGTGTGAGTGTGTGTGTATATGTTAGTGTGTATGTACATGTGAGTTTGTGTGTGTGTGTATGTGAGTGGTGTGTGTGTGTGTATGTGTGTGGTGTGTGTGTACCTGCGTCGAGTGTGTGTGTAAACTTGTGTGTATGTGCGGTATGTGTGAGTGTGCATCTGTGTGTGCGTGTGAGCGTGAACTCGTATATCAATCGGAGGTTGGGGTTGGGGGAGAGACATCTGTTAAAACACCACCACAATTGTTTCTTCTATTTGCACTTTGAAAAGCATAATCAATCACTATACTGACATCAGGTCCTTCTTTCCCTAAATTTATTATGATAAAATACGAATGATTCACTTCAATTATATTGCGGTTTAATCTTACACATTCTTTTTGGGGTGATTATAGCTTAATTCTACTGGCCTGTAAAATGGTAAAGACTACTCCCAGATTTACTGATAATGCATGAAAACACTACACACAAAAATATGTTGTCCTAAATGCATAATCTTTCCATCACGAACTAGTTCGCACTCCTCTTTGAGTCTAGTTGTAATATGGGTCGTTAAAGGTGACGGTCACATCACACACAAGGTTTGTTTGGTAGCAACATCTGCATCATCAAAGTTTCCCAACGTGGCTCTATTTCTGTCCGGAAAAACCGATCTATTTCCCGCTTCCACGCATACATACCCCACCCACGCTTATGTACTCTAAACACGGGGAAATTGGTCAGGTGAAAGGAAACACTGGACCTGAGCGGATATCAATGAAGAACAAACAAACAAACAGTTTATTAGTTTCATCTATACACTAGAAATACGCGTCAAGCTGGAACACGTACAATCGCAGGAATCAAGGATCTGGCTGCATCTTTGGTACACTGTAGTGAGAAAGGATTAACTCAGGCTTTGTATTAATTTCATCAGCTGTGGTAACAAGCCGGCAGTTACATCAATTAGAAGTTGTAGGATATAACAACACAGCGTTGTGGTTCAAGAAACGTATTGGATTAACAGCGTCTCTTTTAAAGTGGACAAACATGTCTATAGTGTTTCTTGTTGCCGGTGTGACATTGAAAATGAACCCGCGTTGAAAAGTGACCCGGGAGTCAGTATTCAACGTTGAAAACATACCCGGTCTCAGTTTTCAACAGACCAGGGTCAGTTTTCAACAGTTGAAAAGTGACCCTGTCAGCTTACCAGGTCGTTAAATAGTGACCCGGGCCTCGCGTTGAAAAGTGACTCCGTTGAATTATAACTTGTGGTTTATTCTGCTTACCAGAAGACTTTGGCAACATGTCTAAATTGGTGCAAATAATTATCAGTGTGTTCGGGATGAGGGTTGGAGATGACACGCATTTATAGGCATGTGTTAACGTATACATAAACAAATTGCCATGGTTCCTGGCTTTAGAAATGATCGTCACGATATGGCTGAATTATTGCCAATGTGACGTAAAGCATTAACTCACTCACACACTTTAGAAATGAGAGAGACATCGTGTGTTGGGGTGTAGGGGAGCACTGTGCCCTGTATGGTCGAAGTGCCCTGTATGGTCGAAGTGCCCTGTATGGTCGAAGTGCCCTGTATGGTCGAAGTTGATGATCCAAAAATATTATCTACAATCTGGAAGCCGTAAATAGAAAGAGGTACACCGAAAATGTTCCCGACCTAAAACGTCCCCACGCATAAAATGTGGTGTTAGGAATAGCGTTTAATGAAGTGTTAACATGATGTCAAGTATATTTCAGTGCAATAATATATAAATGTTGTAATTTTAAGTTATTCTGATATAATTATTTTGATGCAAATATATATTGCGTTGGCACCCAAGTTGGTATATTTACATACAAACTTCAACCCCATAATATTTCAAAATATGAAATCCCACTTCACAAACGAATAAACAATATTGTGAGAAGTTAGTATCAATAAGATTAGTTAAAAAACGCCAACATTAAAAGCACAATTCGCATTCGATGCGTGGGGACGTTTACGGTGGAACTCAATAGAAACCATTAATCAAATGCATGCCAAAGGTCTGAAAGGACTGACTGCAAGTGTTACCATCTAGCAAAAGGGCGTCCCCACAACGTTGTAAGAAGGTTACTTTGTTTAAGCAAAGTGGCATCCAACGTTACCCTCAACGTGACGCTGTCGTAATATTGCTACAACATATTAAAGCAGCCAATTAGTCGGCAAGGTAACACGGTTGCATGGTTCCACAGGATGGATGGGCTGGGGTGAGGTGAAATGGGGTTTAACGTCGCGTCCAAGATTATTGCACTTATATAGCGACGTGCATGTACGTGTGTGTGTTTGTGTGGCTGCTTGTACTAGTCCGGACTGATGCCGATTTCTAGTGCTAGCTCACTGAGATACCATGCCGCAGTTTAACATGAATATCCGACTCAGACACAGTATACTGACTCCGAGCCGACCAGTTCTTGTTTTAGCCCCTTAATGCCGAGCGTAACGTCTTTTGGTATGACGCGGCCGGGGATCGAACCCCGGACCTTCCGCTCTCCTGGCGGACGCTCTACCACTAGACCACGGAGGCGGTCACATTCCTGGGAGTCTACATAGTAACCAAATAGTAACCTATGTATGCAACCTTGCCTGGACCCCCTGTGTTAACTGGGTTATTAGCATCTCTGTTGGAAGGGTGGATCACATCATCATCATCGAATTAGGAATAACAACGGTTTATGCAAGGCGGGTGAAGCAAATCAGAAATGCATAGTTTTTGTATTATAAACCCTAGAAGTTTCTGATCACATATGATACAATGACCACTACCATCATTTGCAACGTGAAACAAAAGTGCAGGCCGAGCGATGGAAGTTACCTGACTCGCCAACAGCAAAATACCAAGTATGTTTTCAAAAGATTAAACTTTTTTACTATTTCTAAAAAGGTCAAACACTCAACAGATCACACAAAGGTAAAGATCAAAGACACATCTGCATACTATAGGCATTTCAAGATAAGAAAGCTGAAAACCCGACCAAAAGGGTAATGTTCTTTTAAGTCACTGAACTGCTTCCGTATCAGTGTGGCAATGAAGGCAACTCTTCGGAAAACCACAAAATCAAAGAGATTGAACTCGTTTAAAAAATTGACAATGCTGTTACACTTTACACAATTCCTATAAAAGCCTGTTTTAAATGTGGAAAGTGGCGTGCGCGATTTAATGAAAAGAAACAAAACCAGCACTATTTCAAAAACTTCAGTATATTGTAGTAACATTTGTGAATTTTGCCAAATTTAAAAAATGCACAATGAATTTTGGAAATGTGGACGTTATCACATGCTTTTAGTCTAAAACACTTGTAATAAGAAGATAACGACGAGCATTCCCTACCACATTAAGCGACTCTATACAATACAATGGAAAATATCCAAATACCTGTTCTAGATTGTCTCACAAGACAACGCACCAGTACACGCCAGCTGGGTTGTGATGGATGCCTTTCGAGAATGTGGGTTCGACCTGTGACCTACATATCTAGCCCCCGGTGATTTCCACTTGTCCCCTAAATTGAAAAAGCACCTGCGGGGTTGAAGTAGGAGGAGGACAACAATTGACTGCTGGACTTCTATATATCGGGCATTAATGATTGGAAAACCAGATGGAACAAGTGTGGGAAACTGGAATGGGACTATGTTAAAAAATAATTGTAAGTTTAACCAGAATTTCAACTTTAAGTTAGTGAGGCTCAAAACGTTTTGATATCCGCTCGTAAAAGTGCTTTGTTTATTAATTTAATCTTAACAAAAATGAAGATTGAAAGGTAGATGCATTTTTGGTTGTATAGGTTTATAGTTTTGGCCAGTAAATCTTGAATCTTGATTTTTCCCGTTTTAATAAAACATGAAACGACCCCACCCTTCTCTCTACCGCACTCAAAAAGACATACATGTACGTAAAACAAATGATGCAAGCTGACAGATACGCACTCAGAAACACCCGGATAAAGACACTAAAAAAGATTTCATCGATTGTAACATTAGATCTTTTTATTTACACTAAAGTCACAATTCAACGGAGTCACTTTTCAACGCGTGGCCCGGACTTGGTAAGCTGTTAGTGTCACTTTTCAACTGTTGAAAATCCAACGGATGGATTCAACACACGCGTCAAACAGGGGGGAATTCAACGAAAAATAAAACTGCAAAAGATATTCTGCGACTTGGTCTGATATTGAAGTTGCAAAACTTATTGAACGTCCCCCGTATTTCTAAAGTTGCCTTTGTTAGGTTGCAGTCCTCCTCGACAAGCACACATTAGTGAAAATAATACTTGTGTGTTGGGTTTGCAAATAGATTCAATCACCTGTGTTAAAAACACAAAGTCGATAAGGGTGATTCGTAACAATGCTGTGAATGCCCGTGACATGTACCTATACAAAGCTTTCTTGGGAAAACCAGGTGAGGGTTTATTTTCTGATATGATGACGGCTGACAAGGCTGTGCATGTCGCGTGTCGCTGTTGCACTTGTCCCTGTCACAGTGTTTAATAGACCCGTAGGAAGGAAGAGGTGTGTGTGTGTGTGTGTGTGTGTGTGTGTGTGTGTGTGTGTGTGTGTGTGTGTGTGTGTGTGTGTGTGTGTGTGTGTGTGTTTGTGTTGTTTGTGTGAGTGTTTGTGTATGTGTGAATGTGTATGGTGTGGTGTGTATGTGTGTATGAGTGTATGTGTGTGTGGTGTGTGTGTATGTGTATGTTGGTGTGTGTGTGTGTCTGTGTAAATGTGTGGTTTGTGTGTGTATGTGTTTGTGTGTACGTGTGGTGAGTGTGAGTGTGTATCTCTGTGTGTATGCGTGTGCGTGTGCGTCTGCGTCTGTGCGTGCGTGTGTGCGCGCGCGCGCGTGAACCTCAATGGGAGGTTGAGGTTGGGGGAGAGACATCTGTTCAAAAACCAGCGCAATTGTTTCTTCTATTTGCACTTTGAAAAGCATAATCAATCACTATACTGACATCAGGTCCTTCTTTCCTTAAATTTATTATGATAATATACGAATGATCCACTTCAATTAAATTGCGGTTTAATCTTACACATCGTTTTGGGGTGATTATAGCTTAATTCTACTGGCCTGTAATATGGTAAAGACTACTCCCAGATTTACTGATAATGCATGAAAACACTACACACAAAAATATGTTGTCCTAAATGCATAATCTTTCCATCACGAACTAGTTCGCACTCTTCTTGCAGCCTTGTTGTTATATGGGTCGTTAAGTGTGAAGGTCAGATTACACACAAGGTTTGGTTGGTAACAACATTGACTGCATCACCAAAGTTTCCCAACGTGGATCTATTTCAGTCCGGAAAAACCGATTTCCGAAACTACGCATGTACACCCCACCCACGCATATATTATCAACACAACGAGGAAATTGGTCACTGGCAAGGCAATCCTGGACTTAAACGGATATCGATGAAGATCAAACAAACGGTTTACTGGTTTGATCTCTTTACCAGAAATACGCGTCAAGTTGGAACACGTACAATCGCAGGAATCAAGAATCTGGCTTTATCTTTGGTAAATTGTAGTGAGAAAGGATTAACTCAGGCTTTGTATTAATTTCATATTAATTTCATCAGCCGGCAATTGGATCATTCAGAAGTTGTAGGATTTTACCACACAGCGTTGTAGTTCAAGAAACGTATTGGATTAACTGCGTCTCTTTTTAAGTGGACAAACATGTTTATAGTGCTTCTTGTTGCCGGCATTCTCTACACGGCCCCTGAGATTGCCGGCCTCCAACGGGTCAAGTGTTTCAAGGATGAATGTGTACGTGGAGTTCAGTATTGCGTGGAGGAGAGACAACGATGCTACAGTTGTGACGACGTCAAGCAACACTGCGGAACTGAAGATATGCCGTTACAGTGCGACGCCTTCTGTAAAGGTAGTTAACGCGTTAAAATACTACACAATCATGTCACGCGCATGTCATTGCGAAATCAACCCAAGCGCACGTAAAATCACAAATATCATCAACTAAGTCATAAATTCTTTGTCTAATGACTCAATATTAGTTCAATATTAAATCAATATTAGTTCGATGTTACTGTTTCATTACAGCAGGCATATACTCAGTCAGCGAGTGAGTGAGTATAGTTTTACGCCGTTTTTAGCAATATTCCAGCAATATCACAGCGGGGGACACCAGAAATGGGCTTCACACATTGTACCCATGTCGGGAATCGAAACCGGGTCTTCGGCGTGACGAGCGAACGCTTTAACCACTAGGCTACCGAACCGCCCCAATATACTCAGGATGATAAAAATAAGTGTATACTGACTGGACAAATGATGTAATGCAATCCGTATAGAGCGCAAGAGGAATGCGTTTTAAACGACAATACCTGTAAATAATTGAGTATGTCACAGTGGTTGGTATCGTGAGCAATACCACACACGCGTCAAACAGGGGGGAATTCAACGTCAATATGTCGACCTGAGGTACTTTTGCACTGCCAGTGTGTCGGGACTGGAGACATATTCTGTCGCTGACTCACTCATGCGCACAACCTGTAAAAATGTTTTGTCTGTGAATATTCAGTTCTCAAATTTTGGATTATTATAACATCATGGAATAATCAGAATACCTGTTTGACAGAGATCTGACAAAATATATTATACTGTTTGGGTTTCAATTTCAGAAATGGCGGCCTTGGAACGAGAAGGAATGCAAAACGAAACAATTAGAGAAATTATTAAAAATTATACGACAGAGTCCCAAAGTGACAAAAGAACAATCGAGATGCTTCAACATGACGTCACTACAACCAACCAGTCTCTGCAGGATGCAAAACGTTCCCTACAGCTTCTTCAGGCAAAGAACAACGACCTCAGGAACACGATTGCAGCAAGGAACAACACCGTTAGAACACTTAGTGATGACGTCAGCCAGCTGGAAGAGCGCAATGAGGCCTTAAAGACTGACCTCACCAACATGTCCTATTTACAGACAAACTATACATTAATGGCTGAACGACAGTCTGACCTGGAAGCACAACTGCAAGGTACCGCACAAGTTTGGGGCTGACCATGTTATACTCGGGGTTGGGATTTTTTCTGAAATTGTTCTACAGAAATAATTTTCAGTCACTACACAAAAGAATACAGGGAGAGTTTCATTTTGGGTGCCTGGAAAAAATGTTTGTTTGGGTTATCATGCATACCCTCCGTAAAATTGGGTATTTAGAGCCCCAAAAGTCAAAATTAGTTTATTTCAAGTTTTGTTATTGAAGAAATTCTTATTTAAAATAAATCCCGAGAACCCACGACCATCGGATCCTACCACGCCTAAGGGACGTAACTATTCACAGCGGATAAGAAGCCTACCTTAGTAGTTTAATAAAAAGCTACAGTGCGACTGATGCGTAAAATAACTTTTACTTATTTGGGTAAAATCGAAAAATCCTCTTGATTTGCACAGTAGTGTTTTTTGTGTATAGTTTGTTTGCATCATATGGATTTGATTGTATATTTTCTCCATTTTAATTTTCTCCATCTAGATCAGAAGATAGCGACAGCTGTGTTATTGGTGATCCTGGGGGTCATTGTGATCGTGTTGTGTATAACCATATACAGATGCCAGTTCCACAAGGGGGGTCATGCAGGTAGCTATCTATCTTCCTACTTGTCCCTACGTTTTCTTATAAGTTTCTAATCATTGGTTAGATTAGTCTCCCCTTATTGTGCAATAATGATTTTGCATGTTAGCTATTGACACCGTGAATATATAATCACAGTAAACTACGTTTATAACGAACACGTTTTGCACCCGGCAACTAGCTGTGTATATATGTTTATATGTTCACAACGAACTCCGGTTATAGAGAACTCAATAACCTTTGAGTTCGATATAACCGTAGTTGACTGTATTTGCAACGATAAACATGTGCTCGTGAGTTATCATATATGCCGAGAACATTAGTGAGTGAGGTGGGTAACGCCGCTTTGAACAGTATTCCAGTATCTCACGGCGTGTCAATGTGACGTAGGAGGAAAGTCCAACGTCATGTAGGTCTTACGGTGCTTGGAAACCAAAATATACTCATGAATATATGATAACAATTTAGTTCGAACACCCGATCCATCCACCCTAAATTTAACTTTCACTGTTAAGTTGGTTGGTTGGTTTATTGTTTAACGCCGCACTCAGCAATATTCCAGCTATATGACGGCGGTCTGTAAATAATCGAGTCTGGCCCAGACAATCCAGTGATTGACATCATGAGCATCGATCCACGCAATTGGGATCGATGACATGCATCAACCGAGTCAGCGAGCCTGACCACCCGATCCCGTTAGTCGCCTTTTACGACAAGCATATCATTGTTATATATGCTTGTATGTCAGTACGCCGAGTACGAGATACGGATGTCTCGAAGTATTAACTGCAGTTTCGCCACTAACTCACTCACTGATAACTTTATGTGTTTTCATTTAGATACAGCTCCAGAGAAGATGTCCCTAGTAAGTGACACCGACACCAAAACGTCCATGAACATTGAGGAGGAGGTCAAGGCCGACGTCTCGCTTCGCGACCAAGAAAGACAAGACAATGTGTCGGATGATAGCGCCGTCTTCGCGGGATCCTCATCTGAGAGCGTGAACATGCAGGGGGGCCCTCAGGACCACGCCCATGACGACTCTCACGTTAGAGCCAAGAACCACCATGCCCCGAGATCCGTATCTCCAGATTCATCCGACGACCGACGTAACGGCTTTAATCAAGACACTCGTGGGATAAACCCGACACCTGATGATGTGTCGGTTGAAATAAGACTGGCGATAGACAAGGAATTCAGCACTGCATATAAGCAAGCAGCAATACCAGATAACGAAATTTGGGCACAAGTAGCATGAAACTAACACTGTCATAAAACGAGACATTGAACAAATCCTTCTGGCTAAGAAGTCGGTTTGTTGGATCGAGGTAGACAGAAAGACTTGTAGACACCACAAAGAGATGTGTTTGAGCGGGCCATGTTTGACCAGTTATAACTACTTTAGGACATTGCTCAGTGTCCTCTGCGCAACTCTAACTTACATGTACCGAACGGTTTAGCGCCATGCTTAAATTTAAACTATCGCCTACATGCGACGGAGGCGGTCATCAAAAGCGAATTAGATCAAATTTTACAAGTAGCGTGTTGCTCACGCCATGGTACTGCAAGTTGCACCTCAGTGTATATTGTGACCTGGTTGCGTGACGTCATGTTCTGTACTGTTCTGTCACGCTGCACGTTACAAATTGAGGGGTTACCTGAATGCCTACATTCCACGCCTCAGTAATCCAGTCGTCTACAGTGACGCAATTCACTGTGCAGAATTTCTGCGTGCTAGAATCCTATGGTCATGGGTAGATCCCAGATTGCCAGGATTACGTTGATAGGTTTGGCGGCACCATGCCATTGGTCTTGGGGTTCACCAACGTGATAAACGTCTTTATTATATACTTCAGTATGAAAGATTGAGTTTTCTGAAGTTGAGAAAAGTGATTTTTCACTTCAGTGAACATAACATTTTGACGTGACTATTGTCCTACAAGAGTTACCTCCCCTTAAATTGTCTCCCTATATCGTAAGTGTGCGGCCTTTACACAAACGTCCATTTTACGCGAGTTCCACTTTGACAAGGCAAAATAATGACAGATTGTCATTTCTGGAGTTAATATCACTTCTTGCAGTTTGTTATTCTCTCGAAAATGTTTCGTTATAAACGGAAATTTCTCATTTAACTCATCAATCGAGATTTCGTTTTGCAAAGCGCCATTTTTTGTTACTTGACCAGCGTGTATTCTTTCGCTTCCAACAGCGGTCTAGTTTTCAAGAATATTTTTGGTTAACGTTGATTTTATATATAATCTTAATATATAATCAAGAATTTTCGTGATCCTAAATGTTTTTTGATACTTTTGGTAATATTTTTTAAGGTTTCGCAAAAAGGAAACTACTTTTTAAGTCGCAAATACAAGGGGTGGTGAACCGTTTCAATGTTTTACATTTTTAATGAAGTAATTCAATTTTCCGGTAGACAACCACACAAAAAATATGTAATATAAAGGATATTCCATGTGTCTCGTGAAATGCCATGTTTCTCTGATCTCGTGACTGGGAAAAGGAGATATTTTTACTCGTGGCTACGTCCACTCGTGAAAATATCTTTTACCCCCCTCACTCGATGATAGAAACATTATATTTCACTCGACACATGTAATATCCTCTATAAGAACAGCATTCGGACAATGCCTATTACAATGTAGTTGTGGTATGTTATTTCCGATGTAAACTTTGAGTTGTAAGTACTGTATTTCAAATGTGTCTGCTACGTTAAACCCCACCGTCGTATCCGACCTAGGAAGGTTGTGTGCTATCGTCACATTCGTTATAAAAAATGTCATTTATTCAGTTAACTGCGGATAGATTAAAGTGTAACCCAGACTCACACCCTTTAAAAAACACACCAAAATCAGCGACACCAAAGTAAACCTGTAATACCAAAGAGAGTCAACCTCGTAATGTGAGCAATCCGTCCAGCGAAACGTCTAACGAAACTTCCCATCAAACGTGATATTCCTCATCATTCATGTACTCGGATGATCGAGTTGGATTGCCAACAAGGGTACAATGCGTCAAAAGCACACTTTTGGTGTCTAGCGTCGCGATATAGCTAAAAAAACAATTCATTCACAACGCGCCATAAATACAAATTTACAAATGGCTCTCCCCGAGATTCGGTATTAATGCGTCAGTACTGGACGTACATATTATGTTATAAATCGTCACTCCCAAATATTTAATTAAAGAAGTTATTGAAGGTAAACAATGGTTTAGTCTAGAAAAGAGGAAATAGTGAAAAGGGTGTAGGTAACGTGCCAAATGACATGTCAAAATAAAGCTATTATCATTTTCACAATATTGATTACCCTTGACAACAATTTCCATCACGAGAGTTAATAAATTAGTGATTTAGTCATAATGATATCTCAAATATATATATATATATATAAAAAACCAGGCAGATTCTTGACCTTTTGCTGTGGAATACGTTTTGAAAACGCACCTCGGCAGGATTTCAAAACCTGAGAACTATTTATGTCAAATGTTTCATATTTATGAGTCACATTTTAGTTCATGTTATGTACTTTGATGCTAAATTTTGTGAGGGGTAATATTTTACTGTGTTTTTAACTATACAACTAATTGCCAATACTTTGCCAGGCATAAAAATATGTCAGCATTTTAATGACTGGGTAATGAAAGAAGAAATAAATAGAATATTTTGAATTATTTTGCCGCATGTTGTTTTTTAGGGAGATTTTCAGGTTTCATCGTTACTTGCAACACAGCCGTGCCACATTACGACAACCATATGTTTACAGGACCTATGTGTGTTAATTCGGAATATGTGAGGTGAGGTGAAAACGCGTTCAAAAATATTGATGCCGTACATGCACGTGTGTGTGGTTGTTTGCACTAGTGCGGACTGATGCCGGTTTTGTAGACACAGTTTACTGACTCCGAGCCGACCAGTCCCATTTTTCCTCCTTAATACCGAACGCTAGTGGGGCTAACAACACGCACCTGCATCTTTAAAACGTCTTTTGGTATGACGCGGCCAGGGATCGAGGCTACATGTGAACGGTGGCAGTGAGCTGACAGAGAAACCAAGCTTTAAAGTGCTCGAGTTCCGTCCCTTTGACGTCCGTTCTTTTAACACAGCCTGGAATACATTTCAACATACCTTTCATTGCATTGGTAAATCTCCACCCATATTTAAGTTTTTAGAATTGAATTTCTCCTAAATGCTCAAAATGTCATAAATGAAATAAATGCTGATTATTATACATATATTAGCTACAGAAGATCATTAAAGAGCCATTTACTGGGCACTATAGAGGTTTTATTCTAAGGGACCGACCATTTGATATTCGGAGGTTGGGTTGGGGCTTGGGGTTAGGGGGCTGGGATTCTGTATCGAGATTACATATTTTTCAGTTACAGCTACAAAACCAGATATTTCTTCTTTTTCTATTAAAACAATGAGCCTGATTTCTTTTCTTCTTTTTTTTAATTTTAATTTTTTTCCAGAACTTTTGCGGACGATATCTTTTTTTTTCGGATAAAATCCCAGGCCACCCCCAGAAATTCAAATGGTCGGTCCCTAACGACAATAGGTTGTGTGCTAGCGGTTGCGATTTTGTTTACTGATCACTGTAAATGTTGAATGTTAACGTGTAACATCTTGATAACTGGTCATTATATAAGTTGTAGGCCAACGTCTACCATCTTGCTTACTGGTCACTGTATAGGTTGGAGGCTACCGGTTGCCATCTTTTTCACTGGTCACTATATAGGTTGTAGGCTACCGCTTGACATCTTGTTCACTGGTCACTATATACATGTAGGTTGTAGGCTACCGCTTGCCATCTTGTTCACTGGTCACTATATATGTTGTAGGCTACCGCTTGCGATCTTGTTCACTGGTCACACTATATATGTTGTGGATACCGCTTGCCATCTTGTTCAATGGTCACTATATAGGTTGTAGGCTACCGTGTGCCATCTTGTTCAATGGTCACTATAAAGGTTGTAGGCTACCGGTTGCCATCTTGTTCACTGGTCACTATATAGGTTGTAGGCTACCGGTTACCATCTTGTTCACTGGTCACTATATAGGTTGTAGGCTACCGGTTGCCATCTTGTTCACTGGTCACTATATAGGTTGTAGGCTACCGGTGCCATCTTGTTCACTGGTCACTATATAGGTTGTAGGCTACCGGTGCCATCTTGTTTACTTGTCACTGTTTAGGTTGTAGGCTATTGGATACCATCTTGTTGACTGGCTACTATATAGGCTGTAGGATATTGGATACCATCTTGTTGACTGGCTACTATATAGGCTGTAGGATATTGGATATCATCTTGTTCACTGGTTACTTTATTGGCTGTAGGCTATTGGATACCATCTTGTTCACTGGCTACTATATAGGCTGTAGGATATTGGATACCATCTTGTTGACTGGCTACAATATAGGCTGTAGGCTATTGGATACCATCTTGTTGACTGGTTACTATATAGGCTGTAGGATATTGGATAGCATCTTGTTGACTGGTCACTGTATAGGTTGTAGGCTATTGGATACCATCTTGTTGACTGGCTACTATATAGGCTGTAGGATATTGGATACCATCTTGTTCACTGGTTACTATATTGGCTGTAGGATATTGGATACCATCTTGTCCACTGCTTACTATATAGGCTGTAGGATATTGGATACCATCTTGTTGACTGGTTACTATATAGGCTGTAGGATATTGGATACCATCTTGTTGACTGGCATCTATATAGGCTGTAGGATATTGGATACCATCTTGTTCACTGGTTACTATATAGGTTGTAGGATATTGGATATCATCTTGTTCACTGGTTACTATATAGGCTGTAGGCTATTGGATACCATCTTGTTGACTGGTTACTATATAGGTTTTAGGCTTTTGGATACCATCTTGTTTACTGGTTACTATATAGGTTGTATGATATTGGATACCATCTTGTTGACTGGTTACTATAGGCTTTAGGCTTTTGGATACCATCTTGTTTACTGGTTACTATATAGGCTGTAGGATATTGGATACCATCTTGTTGACTGGTTACTATATAGGTTTTAGGCTTTTGGATACCATCTTGTTGACTGGTTACTATATAGGTTTTAGGCTTTTGGATACCATCTTGTTGACTGGTTACTATATAGGTTGTAGCATTGCCACAATTCGCTCATTTATATTTTGCCGATCCCCGCGGAAACTCCGATTCATATACATAGAGATCAACAAGGAGAGGAGTCCCATTGGTGGCCATTGGGATGCCTACTTCTTTCTAAAATGTTTTAAGTAAAAATATTGACATACATGATATCTTTGAGGAAGTCCAGAATTTCACACATTTTATTCTCAGCAATCCTCAGATGACATTTTCCTGCATGGTTCCAATATGTACACTGCTATATTGATCTCACATTTAACATGTACAACAGAAACATGTTCTTTCACATGACGTTCATATAACAACAGCTACAGGACTGCCTTGGTTGTCGATCAGCAGTCGAGCATTCGTCCTCAACTGTGTATGGATGGTTTATCACGTGATCCTAGATAAACACGTGGAGATGACACCATCAGGGGTCTCTACCAGGACCTGCTTCTGGTGTCAGAAGTTGTGCACTCAGTTCTTGGACTTTGGACGTTCAGCAATATGTAGACCAAATAACAGAGAAGGCGACGGAACGTTCTGTCACTATCAGGAACAGTGGCGTCAGGATGTGCCAAGCATGATGTATTGAAACTGGTGGCTGTTTGACATTCGAATACAGTTATGACGGTATCTAGTCTTCTACGACTTGGCGAATCGAAACGAATCGAGGAGAATGAAGGATTCGTGGTTCTTCAAACGAATCATTTAGATGTAAATTGAAAATATCTGTAAAAGAGTTTATCCTTTTTAACGTCCGAGATGATTGCATTTATCTTTCTAATACCAATCCAGAAAATTCATGTTTAGATAATTAGATTATATTGACGAAAGAACACTAGCCACAGAATGTATCAGGTTGCTACTATAAACAAACAAGGTTTTCCAGATTGCTTGACCCACACAGCCCGTGGGTTGAACGTGTAGAGCATAGTCTCTCATGTAGCGGGGTGGGTGGTTTTGTATGTCTTCCAAGTTCGGTAGTTAATCTATGGTTACTTAATCTTAGTTTAGAAAACCCACCCATGGTGCTTGCAGCTATATTTTAATTTAGATATATAAGTTGCTGAAGTTATGTGCATCACATTCGAGATTTCCCGATGGTTGTCTCATGTATACAGTCGGCAAGCTAAATGCAGGAGAGGTTTATTGTATTGGAGATATGTGGTGCACGACGAAACATTGAAAAGGAACCTTGAGAACTGTCAGCCACATACCGACGCAACAGTGAGCAAACCATGCATGTCAGTTTATAAGCAGTGTTACGTATTCACCACGACTGCTGTTATTCTACTTGTATGGCCTTAGCTTGCAAAGTGCATTAAATCACTTGAGCGCTCTGATTAAGAACATGAAAAGATTTGCAAAATATATGTCCACGCCCAGTTATATTATTACTCCCAGACTTGATATAATGGGGAAGATCACTGAGGACTATATTAAATAAAGTGGGAGACAAAATGCATCCTTGTGTTACCCCGATGTTGGAGTTAAAGGATTGTGAAATGTCCCCGTCAGTTTTCACTTCATAAGAGATATCATTATAATATAGTGATTGGTATTCTTTTTAATACATTTCCTCAGATGTTATTTGATAATATCTTTGTTAGGAGTAGTGATCTGTCAACTGAATCACAGGCCCTAAGCAGTCTACAAAGCAGCTGTATATTCTTTCCTTTTTTACTTTTTGTAGAATATATGAATGTTTATATATTAATGTATGTAGAATATACATCATCTGATGTTCGACAGCCCCTTCTAAATCGAGACTGACAGTGGTCTTGTAATAGTTTTTCCATGTGTTCCATTATTCTTTCATTTATTAAGATGCAAACTATATACTGAACCCAATTAATAACTTCACAATCCTAAAATTTTAACATTTTGACCAGTTATCATTGTGGGCCCTTATTGTGTATATAAACAGTAATGGCCATTATTGTCTTCAGATAACACCCGTTTTTGTGCAGGTGAATCGATCAAAATCATGTGCACAGCACTATAGTGGCAAAAGTGGTTTTTCACGTGCAACTGGTCACGTGGCCATAATACCGCACGTGTTTTCAGCCATACTTGTTAGCAGTCATTAACAAAAAAAGAAAAACACAAGAAAACAAAAGTCTTTACGGCCATTTTTCGTGCCACGCCTTTCAAATGTGCAACGTGAACGTGCCATCGGCATGTTGCAGACAGGAACGTCCGTAGCTGAAGTCGCAAGGACGATGGGTTGTAGTCAACGGACTGTTTATG